ACCTTTTTTAATGCTTACTGTGATTATTCATGATTTTAAAGTTTCTTTCCTTGTTTTGTTCAGCACTTTGAGTTGTCTTTTGTTTGAGCTCTGCCATACAAACACACTTGCCATGATGCTAAACCATAAGCTAACAAACTGTGCATACATATATAGGTGTTTTTGGTGACGGTAAAGTGAAGCATCTCTAACCTTTGCAGCTCTCTCATGGAAAATAAAAGCTTGAGCATTATTTCAGTGCATCTGACTCTGTTTTTTCTCATTTTGCTGCAAATATCTGTGCAACAAAACTGTGTCCGTCCTCTGGCTCTCAGTGTCTCAGTGTCTCTTCAGTCTACACACGCTAATGTGATCATAAGAGGAGCTTCCAGGACTCACGGATCATACGAGGCCCCCACCCTCTCCCCTCGGACCCACTGAGACCCAGAGAGAGGCTTCATATGTTCTCACACTGTAACCGGACTTCTGCCTGTACGAGCCGAGGTGAAGGAAAGGCTAGAAACAAGGAACAACATGCAGAATTCACTGATTCCCCAGTTCTGTCATATACAAGCAGAAGGCTGGGAGCGTGAGGCGGACCTGGGACCACAGCTCAAAGTCCTAAGCTAATGTACACTGCAAAAAATGAATAAATATAACATCTAGATCAGCTTTTTCTGGTCTCTCCATGGTCTCTGGCTTATCTCTGGTCTCTCACTGGTCTCACTCTCTTCTTTCTCTGGACTCTCTGGTCTTTCTCTGTTCTGTCTCGGTCTCTGGTCTCTCTCTGGTCTCACTCTGTTCTCTCTCTCTGGTCTCTCTCTTTTTCTGGTCTTATGGTGAAGTATAAGGTAATGAATGCTTGTATCAAGTGTTTTATCTTACTTTGATGTTGACTGTCCTTGGAATTAGAAGACAGTCTAAATGTACAAACATTTAGATAAAAACACTGGATTCAAGCATAGATTACATTATATTAATCATTTTTTGCAGTTTAGCGCACAAGAAATGAGTTGATCTTATATTATTATCCTTCAGGGCTTAATGAGGCGACAGTAGCTCAGTTGGTAGAGCATTAGCCTTTGGGCCTGAAGGTCGTGGGTTCGAGCCCACCGTAAGACCTACTTCACGACTCCCACTGATGACTGCTGTCGTTGTGTCCTTGGGCAAGACACTTAACCCTACTTTGCCCAAAAGCCCCCACTGAAAGATCTCAGCTCCTGTGGACTCACTACCTGCAGGAGGATCAGTGAGGGGCTGGTGCTATGTGTACTTGGTGCAGCTCTGACTGCCACCCCCCGACCCAGAAATGGATTAAGGGGAAGAAAATGGACGGATGGCTTAATGATGTGTGGGTCTTTGTCATTTGTTTGAGGTGTGGCTCCTCACTCAGTCCTTCTCATTTATCATCATCACATTTAAAAAATAAAATAAAATAAAAAATAAGTAGTTGACGTGTATGTTTTCAATCCAACCACCAGAGGGAGACACAGCACTGACCACTAACCCCATAAGGCTACACCCATAGCACAGGCCGCACAAAACCCACAATATTCGTCCATCCATCATTGACAGATTTTGAGTGGGACCAAATATCCTTTGAAATAGAACATTTATCAACTTTGAATATAGTGTCCAAAGTAAAGTATAACATATTAAACACAATTCAATGAAATGTATTCTTGTATAGCCCTAAATCACAACAGTATCTCAGAGGACTTTACACAGACATCACAAAAATAGATACACATAAAATAAGATACAGTATAAAATAAAATACCGGCCCACCTTCTCAAGAGTTTCATTTAAGCTTGAGTTGTCTTTTTCTCTGATTTAAAACTCTACAGAGGGGACAGCTCTGAGTGTTCCACAAATTTGGCCCTGTGACAGCAAAGGTTCGGTCTCCTTAAAGTTTGTCTGTTGGTTCTGTGACTGTGGCTCGGCAACATCACATCCAAACAAAGGAGGGTTCTAAACAAGGTGCTGTGCTCTGAATAAGGACTGAGCTGTGGCTGCCTGTTCTGGAGGTTCTTTATGAATCCAGACTCTTGAATCCATTTCTCAGAAAAATAAATGACTCTTCTGGACAGTGTTCCAGCTTGTTTCTTCTGGCAAAAGATATTGTTGGCAAAGATGCAGGACATCTCAATATGTAAACAGCTTTTTTCCACAAGATATTATGAGAGAATGAGCTGAAAGAGAGATCAGAGAGGGACTAGAAAGAGACCCAAGAGAGACCAGAGAGAGACTAAAGAGAGACCAGAGAGATCAGAAAGCTTGTATTAGTTTGAACAAAGGACCTTATTTTGCACTTGTTATATTGAAGCTGTTTTATTCATGCACTTGTCTGGTGCACACTGTCGTACTTTTGCAAAAAACTGAATCTGTAACTGAATCTAAGTCTGAATTCTCTCCCCTCTCCTCTGTTCTTGTCTCTGAAGGACTTCTGAACCACACGGAGCTGAGACTGCTCTTTGGGAGGCTGGAAATAGCTCCGGTCCGAAACCAAACCACAGCGAAACGACTCGGGCCAAAATACATGTGTAGATTCTGCATCACCGTCAGCTGGACTGTGATGATCATGAGAGAGGAGTTTGGGTTTGTTAAAGATTACATATTATTGGCTTTACATTATAAATCTGGGACCAGGGTGCCAACTTTAAACAACAGAGATCAAAGAGACCAGAGAGAGACCAGAGAGAGACCAGAGAAAGACCAGAGAGAGACCAGAGAAAGACCAGAGAAAGACCAGAGAGAGAGAGAGAGAGAGAGAGAGACCAGAGAAAGACCAGAGAGAGAGAGAGAGAGAGAGAGAGAGAGACCAGAGAGAGACCAGAAGAGAAAGACCAGAGAAAGACCAGAGAGAGAGAGAGAGAGAGAGAGAGAGAGACCAGAGAGAGACCAGAGAGAGAGAGAGAGAGAGAGAGAGACCAGAGAGAGACCAGAGAGAGACCAGAGAAAGACCAGAGAAAGACCAGAGAAAGACCGGAGAGAGACAAGAGAGAGAGAGAGAGAGACAGACTAGAGAGACAGACGAGAGAGAGAGAAAGAGAGAGACTAGAGAGAGAGAGAAAGAGAGAGAGACAAGAGAGAGAGAGACTAGAGAGAGAGCGAGAGAAAGAGAGAGAGAGACTAGAGAGAGAGAGAAAGAGAGAGAGAGAGACAAGAGAGAGAGACTAGAGAGAGAGAGAGAGACTAGAGAGAGAGAGACTAGAGAGAGAGAGACTAGAGAGAGAGAGAGACTAGAGAGAGAGACTAGAGAGAGAGAGAAAAAGAGAGAGAGAGAGAAACTAGAGAGATAGAGACAAGAGAGAGAGAGAGGGAGACTAGAGAGACTAGAGAGGGAGACTAGAGAGAGAGAGAGAGACTAGGGGGAGAGACCAGAGAAAGAGACCAGGGGTAAAGAGAAAAAGAGACCATAGAGATGACCAGGGAGAGACAAGAGAGACCGAAGATGAACTACAGCAAGGCCAGTGAGAGAAATCTGAGATATTATTACTGTAGAGAATGATTCCAGCATGTTTCAGTAATTTTTCTTCTAACCAAGACCCCAGTATTTTTACCATAGACTGTATAAATTGATGGTACCCATGGAAGCCCAATAGGGAGGTGCTCATGGTGAAGTTTTGGCTCCTACTTGCACTGGCATCTATTGAGTTACATGTACAAAGTAAACTCCTCTTGCTCAGTAACTCTCTGTGATCCTGGTGTTTATATTGTGATGGTGTCTTTGTGATTCCAAATATGAGCCATATAAGGATTGACCAATCAGATGCCTTCATTTGAGAGGGAAACTTCAGCTAGCCCTAGCAACCGTCTTAGCAACACATCTGCCCCTGTTACGGCATGTCCTCGGTTCCTCTTTATCTGATCTTTCTCTAGTTTTTCTCTGGTCTCTCGCTCTCTGGTCTTTTTCTAGTCTCTCTATTTGGTTTCACTCTCTGGTCACTCTCTCTAGTCTCTTCCTGGTCTCTCTGTCTGGTCTCTCTTTCTAGTCTCTCACTCTTTTTTGCTCTCTCTTTGATCTCTCTCTCTCTCTGGTCTCTCTCTCTGGTAACCCTCTCTGGTCTCTTTCTAGTCTCTCTTTCTGAACTGTCTACAGTTTTTCTCTAGTCTCTCGCTCTCTGGTCTTTTTCTAGTCTTTCTATCTGGTTTTGCTCTCCGGTCTCTCTCGCTCTCTTTCTGGTCTCTCTCTTGTGTCACTCTTTCTCTCTCTGGTCTCTCTCTTTCTAGTCTCTTTCACTCTGGTCACTCTGGTTTTTTCTCTCTGTTTGGTCTCTCTCTCTCTCTGGTAACGCTCTCTGGTCTCTTTCTAGTCCCTCTCTCTGATCTTTCCATAGTTTTTCTCTGGTCTTTTGCTCTCTGGTCTCTCTCGCTCTCTTTCTGGTCTCTCTCTAGTCTCTTTCTCTCTTTTTTGCTCTCTCTTTGGTCTCTCTCTCTCTGGTAACCCCTCTCTGCTCTCTCATGGTCTCTCTCTCTCTCTATCTGGCATCTCTCTGGTCACTCTCAGCTTATGAACCAACCTTATCCAAATCGTCGGTAACTTTTTTTTTCCATTAGACTTCTCTTTTACCTCTGACTGGCACCCACACCCTCCCTCCCCTCCCTCCACCCCTCCACCTCCTCCACCCCTCCGCCTCCTCCGCCTCCTCCTTCACAATAATGAGAGGATTTAGTGTTTATGGGCTCCTTTTGACCTGGAGCCCACAGACCAGCCATTCATCCACTGAGAACAGGCAGAGCAGACACAGAGCCCTGTCGAGGCGGGCGTTAGTGGACGTGATATAAAGTAGGTGTGATTTTGGGGCCTGTTCAACAAACCGTGGATGTGTTTCCTCCTGCAGCAGCATCACGGGAGGAAAGAGCCAGAGGTTTTGGGGGAGAGAGGGAGGAGGAGGAAGAAAAGGAGGGACAGAACTAACTATATAGAGTGAGCAAAGCCTTCAGACCAGTGCAGACTCTTACAGACGCTGTGGGAATATTTTCATTTCCATACTTTGCACCAGGAGCCTGAACACACCATGCTGGACCACGGTGAGTTTGCAAACAATATGCACAAAACATAGAAGTGTATTATAGCTGTGTTTAATCCCTCTTTGTATGGCTGTATACAAGACCTATATGTACAGGAGAGCTGAATGGAACTGAAATCAAACAGATATTGTTGTTAAAGCTGGGGTACCTATTTCCATGAATAACACAGACACAAGACACAGAAAGAGTATTAATATATTTTGGTTGATTGTAGTTGATACTCCATGGGAAGTCAGTCGAGTGATTTTAAAGTAGCAATACGTAAGATTTTCATGTCAAGTCATCATTAAATGCCCCTAATTTGTCTAAAGGCATTCATAAACCATGCTCTTTTTAAATACTTATTTAACTGATAACAGTGGTTCAGCGAGACATTTGAATTTTAAAATTAGTTTTACAGCCCCAAAATCTTGTTCATTTCAATGTCCCGCCCTCCACCGTTTTACCAATCAGAAAGTCCGCGATCCGGGTTGCCAGAACTGAATACAATTTTTTGTTGACAAATCTTTATTCAGATATCATGGTCCCAGCTGGATTCATCTGCATATCTGGCAACCTGAGTCAGGGATAGTAAACTACCATTTTTGGCTAGATTTTTACATACTGCTCCTTTAACACAGGAACCTATATTAAATCGGAATTATATGTCCCCTGCTTTAAAAGCCTGTTAAGATCCTTGCTTGAAGACACATTAAGTAACTATACAGTCAATTAATTCATACAAAGTTATGTCTAATTGATGCTTTGATACTTTGTGCCTCTCTGGGTTGATGTTCAGCTGCTCATTCATCCCTCAGAATTTTTTAAGTAACTTGACCACTTTTTCAAGAGTCCCGGATCAGGAAAATATTTTGATACTTGCTCGATTTTGTGAAGTTTTTCCCGCTGAAGAATGGGGTCTAAGCTCTTTATCTCTCTCAGGTCTTTCTCTGGTCTCTATCATCTAGCTCTGGTCTCTTTCTAGTCTCTCTTTAGTGTCTCACTGGTCTCTCCTTGTTCTCTTTCTCCAGTCCCTCTCTCTGGTTTCTCTCTAGTCTCTCTCTATGGTCTCTCTCTCTTTCTTTCTCTCTCCAGTCTCTCTCTGGTCTCTCTGTCTCGCACTCCCTCCAGTCTCTCTCTGGTCTCTCTAGTCTCTCTCTCTCTCTCTATAGTCTTTCTCTGGTCTCTCTCTCTGGTCTCTCTCTCTCTATAGTCTCTCTCTGGTCTCTCTATCTCTCTCTCTCTATAGTCTCTCTCTGGCCCCTCTCTGGTCTCTCTCTCTCTCTGGTCTCTCTCTCTGGTCTCTCTCTCTCTCTCTATAGTCTCTCTCTGGCCACTCTCTGGTCTCTCTCTGGTCTCTTTCTCTCTCTATTTCTCTCCTGTCACTCTCTGGTCACGCCTCTCTCTCTATGGTCTCTCTCTCTCTCTCTCTCCCTGGTCTCTCTCTCTCTCTCTCTCCCTGGTCTCTCTCTCTCTCTCTCTCTCTCTCTGTCTCTCTCTCCAGTCTCTCTGTGGTCCCTCTCTGATGGGATTGTGTATGTAATGCAGTAATAGTCTCATAACACAGCTCCAGTGAGTCATTAGTGTGTGACATAAGTCATGTAGTGGACTTTGTGAAGACTTAGTAATCCTGGAAAATCTCTCAGTCTGGAAACCTGCTTCACATAATACTCTCTCAGCAGCTCGGTCTTGTTCAGCAACAGAAATGTAAGGTGTCAAGTTTATATCTGAACTAAAATCAAGACGGATGAGAAAACACTGTACTTCAAACATGAAATAAAGAAAAGACCTCTTTGATTATATGATGCTCTGATTTAGTTTGAAAAAAAAAGAAAATTGACAGACCTCCTGCCGCTGCTGGTCTCTCGGTATTTTTCTGGTCTCTCTTTGGTCTCTCTGGTGTCTCTCTCTGGTCTCTCTCTGGTCTCTCTCTGGTCTCTCTCTGGTCTCTTTCTGGTCTCTCACTGGTCTCTCACTGGTCTCTCACTGGTCTCTCACTGGTCTCTCACTGGTCTCTCACTGGTCTCTCTCTGGTCTCTCTCTGGTCTCTCACTGGTCTCTCTCTGGTCTCTCACTGGTCTGTCACTGGTCTCTCTCTGGTCTCTCACTGGTCTCTCACTGGTCTCTCTCTGGTCTCTCTCTGGCCTCTCTCTGGTCTCTCTCTGGTCTCTCTCTGGTCTCTCTCTGGTCTCTCTCTGGTCTCTCTCTGGTCTCTCTCTGGTCTCTCTCTGGTCTCTCTCTGGTGTCTCTGGTGTCTCTCTGGTGTCTCTCTGTGACTGAGTTGTTAACCCCTTCTGCTCCTGTCAGATCAGTCAGAAACCCAGCTGTTGAACTGGCCCTCTGCTTTGGCGGTTCCCAAACTGTGGAGCAGTTACCTCCATCCTTTAGAGCAGCCCCTTCTTTGGAGGTTTTTCAATCAAGTCTCAAGACACATTTGTGCCTCGGCTTTTAACACCAACTCCCACAAATGTTACTGTTTTACTCTTTCTATGTATTGTGTGTGGTTTTTAGGCTTTTCCTGTTTCTCTCATGTTGTGCATGTGGAGCACTGTGGGCAGCTGCTGTTGTTGTAAATGTGCTATACATATAAATCTGACAGTGACATTGACGTTGACCAAACCCTGTGTATGGGCCTGGCCTGTGCTGCCCACAGACTGAAGGGGGGCAGCTCTCATTCCTCACTCCCTCGACAGGACTTCACTCCTCTGTGTTATGAGCAGGACCGACTCCAACCAAACCTGATGAACGGAAGATTCACGGTATTTAGAAATGATTATAATTATGTTAATATTAAAGCTGGGGTACCTAACTTTAAAGCTACAAAGTATATCAGTATATGGACTAATGCATGAGGGCCTAAGGACAGAGATGATCCTGGACATTTAAGGACATATGAATATTTCTGGAACGTGGTCATCCCGCTTCTTATGCACAAATGGCTCCTATGTGTTTGTTTTTATTGTTATATTAATATTTAATCCTCGGATCTGTTTGTGGTGAATCCATACATTTGCAAAATGACTACTGTTGTGTTTTAGGGTGACGCACAAATACAGTGAATTAAAATAGTTCCGGTTTGCTTCTTTCAGTACTTGGCCTCTGTCACATCTTTAGATCCGCTTTTTCACACTGAACAGTACAAAAGAAAGGACCACCCTCGCGTAGCCAATCAGCTCTCAGCCCAAACATAAGGAAAATAAAGTTAAGTTCCTCAGCTTTTTTTGATGCAGGTTTAAGCCGATACCACAGCTACTTTGTTTATTATTAACATTCATAATTATTATTCACATGTTTTACAGCAGGTCACATGTCTGCTAAAGTCTTTGGTTTATCCTGGTTTTCACTTACTTACAAACTTACACACAACAATTAGTCGTATGGACAAGATTAGAAACACTAGTATAATCTGTTATATAGAGTATGTGCTGGTATATGTACATTCAGCCCATGTGCATGTGTTATTCTAGCCATAATCTTTAACTTAAAGTGACACAAGCGCTTGTTTGAGTATTACAGACCGTGGTTACATCTAAATCCATAAATAATTCCCTTCCTTGTCTGTTAAAATGCCTCTTTCCAGACATAGTATGGCTTCAGATTTAGTGAAATCAAATACCTTGGTAGGACTGATAAAATGATTAGGTTTACACAAAAACAACACCAAACAAGTTGAAAAGAAGAAGGCAGGTCAAAGAAGGAGATGTTAATATTATGAATTTGGATACATGTGTGTGATTGCACAATATCACCAGCAGAGGGCGAAAGGAATACTGCAGCAGATGCGTTGACGAAGCAGGTAAAAGTATGACATAAAAAATATTGATTGGATCTGGAGAGGATTTACAATAGATGTATTAAGCTATAAAGCCACTAATACAAAAAACAAATCAAATGGTTCTCACGACTCCCTCTTGTGGCAGTAAGATAAATTACAAAAGGTACAACAGAATGAGCCATATACAGTTGTCATAATAACTTCACTGTTTTCTGTAGTTTCCTGAGTACTTCTCATGGGCTTTAATTGTGGCTGGGTCTAAACAGGCTGGTGTTGTTGGCGTGTTTGTGGTCCGTCTCTGGGGTTTTTCCGGCAGGTGTCAGTGCTCGGTCTTCCACACAGCAGGCCTCTGTTCCAGCTGAAGCCTCGTCTCCCTGCGCCTCTGAAAGGAGCTCTGTACAAGGCCATAGAGAGAGCTTTAACTGAGGCTCACCGGGGTCTATGCACGGGAGACTGGACTGCTTTAGGGCCATGTGCTGCAGCCAGGAGCACGATTTCAATCTTTGTAAAGAAAAATATGAGGAAAGCCTGGTTCAAGGTTCAAGGTCAACTATAAAGACAAATGGGTCTTTGTCTCACAGAGCTGTTGGACACAAACACATATGGCTCTCTCAACATCAAGACAATTGTATCGTCTGCACAAAATCCAACCCAAGAATTTGGAATAATACATCCAGGACTCAGGCTGTAGATGGTTCCTGGTTGCGGACTTTCCATAAAGAAATTGGAAAGTAAATAGTAGCATTATCATTTTGATGGTAAAAAACCCTGTATTATTTCTTCTTTAATTTAGTCTTTGCAATTTCATTTGGTGCACAAGAACATTTGCAAATAAATGTTCCAATCAAAGTCAGTATTTGTGTGAACATATATGCTACAGATAAAAAAAGTGTGAGCATCAGCATTGAGAACAAGAGATAGGGTGAGGAGCCAGTCAGAAGGGAGGAGCTTGGAGTAGAGCCGCTGCTTCACTTCTTCGAGAGGAACCAGTTGAGGTGGCTCGGGCATCTGTTCCGGATGCCTCCTGGAAGCCTCTCCGCTGGGAACCCCTTGAGCTGGAGGAAGTGTGTGTGGGAAGTCTGGGCGTCTCTGCTTAGACTGTTGTCCCTGCGACCCGGCAATGGATGAAGCGGAAGAAAATGAATCAGGATGTGCTCTTGGCTTCTGTTCAGATCTTTCAGACAGAAAAGTGAAAAAGAGAGAACCACTTAGTCAATGGGTTTCCCTGGTGTGTATCTGGCCTTGTATTGGAGCAAGAGAGACTAGTTAGAGAACCCAGAGCGAGAGAGAGAGAGAGCCCAGAGAGAGAGATCAGAGAGCGACCCGAGAGAGAGATACCAGAGAGGGAGAGAGAACCGAGACCAGAGCAAGAGAGAGAGAAAAACCATATGACGGATCAGAGAGAGACAAGTGAGAGACCAGGGGAAAAGGGAGATCAGAGAGAGACCAGAGAAAGTGACCAGAGAAACCTCAGAGACAGACCATAGAGAGACCAGAGAGAGAGACCAGCGGGACCCCAGAGAGAGTTCCCCCAGTGTGAATGAGGCCTTGTATTGCATCATGTGTTGCAATACTCCGTCAGTCCATGTATTTTCCTTCAGGAGTTAGATGTTTTAGCTGTAGCTGCTGTGATGTGAGCGAGGGGAAAGTTGGAGCCACATGTGACGATGACATCATAAGTGGGCGGGGCTTTCTGTGAGAAACAAGTACTTTTTATTGAAACAGTTTCTAAATATAGAGCACCTCGCTGTCGTGATCCTGAGTGGATTCAGGCTCGAACAAGGACACATTGTGCTGTTGTTCCCCTCCAGGCTTAAATACCACATTATTCCACACTGATTTAACAAGGTTGGCTTATAACTTAACTTTGATATTTGACTTCTTGGTTAGGTTAAGCAAGTTCAATTGTCCTGCACAGTTCATACACAAGGCAGCTCAAAGTGCTTAACAAAACAAGATAAAAAGCAATCATACAAGGCATTAAAGTAAAAGTAAAAAGTCAACCACAGTGCATAAAAAATCCTTCAATTATTGCTGCAGAATAATTGCTTATATATAATAGATGTGCAATGTTTTAAACACAAAGTCTACAGGATGATACAAATTACATATACAAATATACGGAATATCTCTGTGAAGGCAAATTCTGGAGTTACCCAGGTCTGGGCAGTGGCTTGGTGGATGGTACTCTCACTTCTCAGCATGAAGGTCCTGTGTTCAAATCCCAGTCGGAACAGGACCTTTCTGAGTGGAGTTTGCATGTTTTCCCTGTGCGTAGATTTCCTCTGTGTGCTCCGGTTTCCCCTACCACTGAAAGCATGCATGTATGAATCTAACAAGTGAGGAATGGATGGTGTTTTTGGGGCTTTGACGCACCAGTGTGTTCGGTGTCTCTCTTCTATCATTGCCTTGTGGAGGGAATGGAACCATATCTGAACAATTACAGAACATTGTGCTTTGAGTGACTGTAAAAATGCTCTAGATAACTTCTGTCAATTGCACAAACTAGTAATTTTATTGTATCATCCACAATGTTTAAACCCATTTTGCATGTACTAACTATACTGTATCATTTAGCAGATAGAGTTTCTCTTCTGTAATCACTGTGTGAACAAACAGCTGGACTTGACACCGTTTGTGAGCGTTACTGCGTCTCGGTGAACCTGACACCGTAATGGTCTGAGATGCGGGTGTAGAAGGTTGTAATGCTCTCTGCTGATAGTGCTCTGCTCTCTCTGGAGTCAGCCTGCATCACTTATGGTCCAGTAATGGGACCAGAACACAGCTGTGGCTTCTTCCATTATGAAACCAGGGAGAGGGAGCGAGGCCTGACGTCACCGTGAGAAGGGGACGGTTATAGACGCTAAAATACTTCAACATACTTAAACATACTTAAAGAACTTCAGTAATATGGATGTGTTTGTGTTCATCTGAGTTCATGAACAAGATTTTGAGAATATTTATTGGCTTCATTGGAAACAGCTATGTGTTAAAAAGTTGTAATCCTCTCTCTTGTCCCCAGTGGCGTTCCAAGGGTACCCCGGGGCCCCAGGCAACAGAGTCCTTGACGGCCCGATACCGACCACATAACTAGATAAAAAAAAAACATATTTTAGTAGGTATAAATATATAATTATATTCTATATAAACACCAATGGCCAAATGAAAGATTAGGCCCTTAGCTTTAAACTGCAAAAAACAGCTTGTTTTTACCTTTTACCGTTTTAAGGGCAATCTGTCATAGAATATAAGATATAGTTTAGTCCAAAACAGTGCACTCTCCCAGATTCGATCTCAGGTCATTCTGACTTAAATGCTGCAACTTAACCACTAGACTACTATTGCATACGCTACATGGCTGTTGCCAGCCAGGATTTTTAACTGTTAAAGAAGAACGTGGCAAGTTTTGCATCAGACAAATAGTTTGTTTCGCCAACTCGTCACTGCAGGTAGCTGTTGTAGCCTGTACAAGTTGACCGCTTGTGTCAAATCAGTCAGCCCTCGTGGCCCCCTGCCGGTTTGGGGGCCCCAGCCTGCCTTGCCTAATGGCAAGGGACGCCTCTGCGTGTCCCCTCTCTCTGGACTCTCTCTGGTCTCTCTCGGCTCTTTCTTTCTCGTCTCTCTCTCTCTGGTCTCCCTCTGGTCTCTCTCTGGTCTTCCTCTGGTCCCTCTCTCTAGTCCATCTCTCTGGTCTCTTTCCCAGGTCTCTCTCTCTTGTCGCTCTCTGGTCTCATTCTCTTCTCTCTCTGGTCTCTCTCTGGTCTCTATCTGGATAACTGCCTTTTACAGCGTCAAATAAATGTTCATATATATTTTCTTTTCTTTATGTTTTACTTTAATTGATTTAAAAAAAAACAAAATTTTTTATAAACTCTGGTGTTTATCATTAGGATCATTCCAGATACCCACTTACAGACCGTAGTTCTGATCCTTAGTTCTTATTCCTCTCAGATCCAAAATTGACTCCTAATACCTGCTGTGATGAGATATGGATGAAATCATGAGAAAACTGTTCTCGCGGCAAATGAGAAACCTGGAGGAACTGTGTTTTCATAAAAGGCAGAAACTACAAACCAGAACCACAAGACAGCTGTGAGAAGGACACCACGGGTTTTAGTCTCTGCTCCAGTCAAATGCAGCTTCAAATACATTTTTCTTTTTCCCTCTGGTTCTCAGTGTCTCTCGTCTGTTGTGACGATTTGACCCTGATTTTATAGAAGCCAAACGTTATTTCACATTTTTGACAGTATTCAATTCAATGTATTTGTGCCCTAAATACCAACAGAAATCGTCTCAGAGGACTTTAAAGAAGTTGTAGAACCCATAACGAGAAGATCCAGGACTGAGGCTGTAGTCAGTCCCAGGTGGGGAGAGGGCTGTTCCTCACTCTATTTGCTTTCGTTTCTAGTTTTTACATCAAGAATTTATCCCCCCTCTGTCACATCTTTAGATCAACTTTTTCAGACAGAAAAGTAGAAGAGAGAGGACCAGCCTCACTCAGCCAATCAGCAAAGATAACATGTATCCTTTTCCTTCTTGTGCAATTTGAAAGTTGTGCACCCCAGCTTTAAGCTAGTTTAAATAGGCCTATTGTGAAGCCAGTATAATCCAGCTCACAGTCATTCTTCAAAAGTCATAAGGCGAATGCGCTCTCTCTCTCAGTGCGGAACAGAACAGCTCTTGTTTCTCAGAGCACTCTCTCTGCTGCAGTCTCCGTATGTGAGATCTATAACTGGATTTTCTAAATGCTCTCCTCCCTCCACGGTTCCATGCTCTGGGGAACCCTCTCTCTCTCTGGTCTCTCTCTAGTCTCTCTCTCAGGCCTCTCACTCTCGGGTCTCTCTGTCTGATCCTTCACTCTCTGGTCTGTCTCTGGCAGTGTTGGGTGTAACGCTTTACAAAGAAACAACTTTTTCCAGGTAAAAGTGAAGAAACGCATTAACTATCTACAATTTAGTAAGGTAAAGCTGTGACTTAACGTCTGGATCTACCGTATCGTTTCTTTTTAGTCAACAACACCGACACTCCTGAGCGTGTGTGGCTCTTCCCGAAGCAGATGCTTCGAAACACTGTGTTCAAAACAGTCGCTCATGAGATAAACGCCACTGCTTCACTTTGTGTATGCACTGTGTCGGTGTGTCCAGCTGTGTCCAGCTTTGCATTGGTTCAGAGCGTTGGTTCAGCGTTGGTTCAGAGCGTTGGTTCAGAGCGTTGGTTCAGAGCGTTCACACCACGTTCACACCACTGATAAATACAGTTTCATTGCAAAGTCAATGACAGTCTGTGGTTTTGATGCGCCTCTTTGGTCTGACAGTTTTTAGTGGATAGCCTTGACTGTAGTGGATAGGCTAACAATTTCCTAACAATGTTGGGCAGTGAGGAGACAGTGTTAGTGTTGGTAATTTTGGCGACTTTAATGGCAAGTGAAAAATGGAGATTCATGGTTTGGGATAAATTTGTATCAGTCGAATCGCCCACTTTCTGAAAAATCCTTAGCAAGATACCAACAACAGGGGACAGGGGTCCATGATCAGATCACAAAACATTCACTGGGTATCTGGATGAATGTTGAAGAACAGTTCTGCTCAAAAGTAACGTAAAAGTAAAAAGTTACGTAATAAGTTACTTTCTTTAGAGAGTAACTAAATAAATTACTTTTTTGAAAAGTTGCATTTTAAAAAATAACTCCTCAAAGACTGCTCTCTGGTCTCTCTCTCTCTTTCTGATCTCTCTCTCTCGCTGGTACGTGAGACCTAACTGTATTTCCCTCCTCCCTCCTCGGTTCCAGGCTCCGGAGGTCTGTCCGCGCACACAGCCATGCCTCAGCGCTGCCTCCTGCACAGACGCGGGGGAGGAGGAGGAGGTCGCGGGGGAGGCACCACGGCCGCCCGGAGGATGGAGCGCAGACGCAGGGACCAGCAGCTGCAGCGCAAAGGAAACGACCACAACACAAACAGCCACCAGCGCTCCAAGAAGCTGGCCCTGCTCTCCAGGTCAGTGTGCTCCCGGTGCTCCCGGTGCAAGCCCCGCTAACGCACGGACCAGATCTGCTCTGATGGCATGGTAAGGGACCTACGAGAGAGGGACCAGAGGGAGAGACTAGAAAGAGAGACTAGAGAGAGAAACCAGAGAGAGAGAGAGGCCAGAGCGAGAGACTAGAGAGAGAGATTAAAGAGAGAAACCAGAGAGAGACTAGCGAGAGAGAGACCAGAGAAAGATTATAGAGAGAAAGCAGAGAGAGAGGGACCAGTGAGAGACCAGTGAGAGACCAGAGAGAGAACATACCTGTTCAGATGTCATGATGAGAACTTTGAAATGTGCTCTTTAAAAAAAAAAAAAAAAAAAAAAAAAAAGATAATTTTGTGGTGCGAGGTTTTTGAAATATGGTTCAAAGTCTGATATTTAGTGCAAGGTTGATGTAAACCTCCTGAGGAAATTACCAAATCATGTCTTGTTTTTGTTTATGCCGTATACAAGCTGCGGTAACGTACAGCTTCATATAATCCATGCCTATAACCTTGCTCTCATAAACAGTTGCTTCTATCACTAGTTATCATATGTATAGTTTGGCCTCTGTCACATCTTCAGATCAGCATTTTCAGAAATAAAAGTCAAGGGAGAGAGAGAGAGAGAGAGAGAGACCACCCTCACTCAGCCAATCAGCCCAAAGAGTCAAATGGTGGCTCACAGGGCTTTTTCTTGCACAAAAGACAAGAAAAAGCATGAATAAATATTACTAACTAAAGCCCCGTTTCTACCAGCCCTACTAAACTCTATACTACTCTACTCTACTCTACCTGATTGCGCTTCAATTACACTACAGTATCTGGTACAGAATCCTAGAAACCTACCCACAACAAACTGCGGTATCCAAGGAAATTCCTCGGTAACCATGTATTCCAGCAGCTCTCTGGCCAATCACTGTCAGTAAGAACACGTTAGTACCAGCTCGGCCCGGATAGAACCAAGACCAAGAGGTGCTAAAGAAGGAACTGATACTGGTTAAACAGCTCCAGTGGAAACACTTCCAACCAGGGGAGAGTACAGTAGAGTACAGTAGAGTATAGAGTGATGCAGAGTAGAGTAGTAGTAGTAGTAGTAGAGTAGAGAAGGGCTGGTGGAAACAGGGCTTAAAAAAGTCGATCATCGCCATGTTGATATAGGCAGAACAAACTTCAGGATTACAGCGTCACAAAGCCTCAACGTATGCAAAGTATAAGTACTTCATAGTTTGGAAATAATTCAGTCCAATGTCCAGTAGTGGTCTGTGTACTCCTCTGTGTAAGCTCCACTGTGTGAAAGAGCTGCTCATGTGTTCTGCCGTCACTAACGCCGGAAAAACTAACTGGAAAAGAGGAAAAACCACAGATTGGTCAACACTAATATTTCAATGAGGCTTTTTCACCGATTGCATCATGTTTTGCCAAGAACTTGGTTAATTAATCAAAAACACATGTTTATTCCTACTGTATGCACATCCACTGGTATGGATATTGGAAAGAAACTCTACTCTACTTTTCTCTTCTCTATGCGTCTCTACTCTTTTCTACTCTACCTGTGCATTCTGATCTTCAGTGTCTCTCAAAACTTTCACGAATTAATAGTATCACTTTGCTTGTGTCAGGGTTTATTATGCAGTAAATAAACCGTTCAACAGTTCTGGATGTACACAGAATCAAGGGCCAGAGTGAGAGCAAATGGTTCATTATCTGAATATTTCCAGTTAAAAAGAGGGACAAAACAAGGCGATCCGTTATCACCTCAAATGTTTGCTCTAAGCGTTGAGCCTCTGACTGACAGCATGAGGTCTAATAACAGAATCAAAGGTGTTAACATTAAAGACAACAAACACAAACTCTCATTGTATGCGGATGATGTAATGGTTTATAAAACAGATGTGCCAAACTCCCTTCCTGAACTCTTCGACGAAATACAAAATTATAGTGACAATTCTGGCTATCAAATACATTTCAAAAGAAAGGAAGTTCTAGAATTGGGCAACAACCTCAATCTACATTTTAAGAACAGGTTCAAACTAAAATGGGTTCAAGAAAAAGTTAAATACCTAATAATCTCAATTACAAAAAACCTAAAAGATTTATACGAAGGCAACTTTATAGTACTCGAAAACTCGTTTAAACAAGATTTTGAAAGATGGAAAATGTTACCCCTTTCTTATCCCTGTTTCAGAGTGTGGGAAGATATGATTAGAAGATTTATTTGGGATGAAAAGAAACCCAGAGTGAAATTGAAACAACTACAACAACCCAAGGATCAGGGGGACTCGGTCTGACCAACCTTCTTCTCTATTATTTTGCCGCACAAGTAAAATGTATCATGACATGGATGAATACTAAATTAAATCCTAAATGGAAAATAATAGAATTGGATTTGGTGGACTCACTGAGCTCCCACTTTTTCTCAGTGCAAAGAGCAATTAAAATTGAACATCACACTTTTACTACCTTAGATACTTCTAAATCTGGCAAAGAATCATATTAAAATGTTAAAGGTAAAATCAAAGGACACCATTTATCTGCCGACTCAGATTTTGTTCCCAATTTCTTAGATGATTCCTTCAAAATATGGAAGACAAAAGCACTTACCAGGTTCCACAAACTATTTCATAAACAAGCTATGGACTCGTTTGAGAAACTTAAAAAAAATTACAACTTGCCTACATGTCACTTTTTTAGATTTCTCCAAGTTCGTAGCTATGTTAAAGCTAATGAAGTAGCTTTGCAAATTCCTTACTCCATAATCCAATATATTATTTAAAAGAATATATGATAATTCAAAATGTAAAAAATGTTTAAGAGAGATTTATAGAATCTTGATTAATAACGCTAACCACAAAAACGATCTTAAAAACTTGCGAAGCAAAAGTAAGAGCAAAGTAAGAGTCGAGGAGTGAACTCAAGGGTTGACTAATATTTATACCAACACAAAATCCTCATATTGGCAAGAATACGCCTGGAAGATTCTCACTAGATTCTTCAGAACACCCTGAGCGATTAACAAGTTTTATAATTCAATTCAACATTGCTGGAGAGGTTGTGGAATAGAGAATCCAGATTTCGAACATATCTTTTATGCATGCCCACACTTGGACCTATAATGGGGCCTCTTTTCAGATCTTATCAAAAAAATATGTGGCAAAAAAATAACAATAGAAAAACAAAATCTCTTGCTAGGGTTTCAACCCAAGAATTTAAAAAAAGAACACCATTATTAATTTTGGATCTTACGATGTTTGCCGTTGAAGCAGATATCAAGACTTTGGTAAAGTTCTGAACCACCTTGCTTTGAAAAATGTATAGATTAGATAAAACATTTCTACGAAAATGAAAAAAGGTTGTACAAAATGAAAGGTAAAAGCAACATTTTCAAATCGAGGTGGTCAGCCTTTACTCAAAATATAACGTAGACAATTCAGTTTTTTTTCTATTATCTGTTATTTATTTATTTGGTCTGGTTTACTTTGAGGTGTGTACGTATGTGTGTGTGTGTGTGCGCAGGTGTAGGTGTGTGTAGATATGCTGAAATGAATTGAATTAAATTGAGAAATGAACTTAAGAAGAGGAAGGTAAATATGTATGTGTATGTGTGTGTGTGTGTGTGTGTGTAGGTGTAGGTGTGTGTAGATATGCTGAAATGAATTGAATTAAATTGAGAAATGAACTTAAGAAGAGGAAGGTAAATATGTATGTGTATGTGTGTGTGTGTGTGTGTGTGTGTGTATGCGTGTGTGTGTATGTGTGTGTGTATGCATGTATGTGTGTATGTATATGTATGTGTTTATATCTGTATATTTTATTTGCTTTTCTTGTTTGGCACATTGGGGGAAAAAAAAAAAGTGTGGAATATGTTTTTTGGAGCTTTGCTTTGATCGTACTGAGATGTGTGCAAAGACGCAATAAAGTATTTAAAAAAACAGCTCTGGATCTATAGCTTCAGTCACCAATGGACCAATGGCTTCTATGTCTTTGTTATCATTGCATTTCCTGTTTGATTCTCTGATCTGATGTTGGTGAATCCACAACTTTGTAATATGCAATACTCAAGAGCGATACACAAATAAATTTAATATATAGTTATTCCTGAACATTTAAACACTCTTTGCCTTGAAGCTGTTACATTTTAACACTTTAAAAACATGACCCCATGCTGTCCACTCAACCACCGGCCGGCACGGTGGCTGAGTGGATAGCACTCTCGCTTCTCAGCAAGAAGTTCCTGGGTTCGAATCTCGGTCGGATCAGGGCCTTGTTCTCCCCGTGTCTGCGTAGGTTTCCCTTACCACTAAAAATAAGTACAATAGTTCTGGCATGCGCCTCCTGTTCTGGCAACTCCCATCTCTGTGTGGAGTGAGAGGACAAATGCCCCCCCCAAAAAAAATTGTAAAGCGCTTTGTTACTCTGGTCTGTGAAAAGGCAGTATATAAATAAAGATTACTTACTTCATTAAATCCCATCAAAAGTACAGATAATATCAACAACATAATGCTGATTATGTTCAGCAGGAGTCCTCTGCAATACTGGGAGCGCATGAATATTTGATCTCCATTACATTTGTTGTTTGGGCTTTTGTCAAGGTCCGCCCTGAGTGCTGTCAGTGGTAATTGCGCTAAAAATGTATTGTATCATCCTTGAATTATCAAAATATACATAATGTACTTATTGAGACAGGTCTAACATGTCCCCTTTGGACTGATTTTTAGGAGTGGCAAGAGTGTGACATCACAATAGTGTTAGCCTTAATGCAGATAAGGTCGATTTGAATATTAGCTGGAGCCAGTTTCTTTGTATCGGCATTTCTTCACAGAAACCACAAACAGTTAATGAGCTCTCTCTGGTCTTTTTCTGGTCCCTTCCTGGTCTCTCTCTCTGGTCTCTCCCTGGTCTCTCTCTCTGGTCTCACCCAAGCTGGTCTCTCTCTAAGCCCAATAGGGTGAGTGTGACACAAACGTTTACTGAGCTAGAGGAGTTTACTTTTTACTGAGAGAGTTGGAGCCAAACTTCAGTATGAGCACTTCCCTATTGGGTGTCATTGAGCTAGCGGGTTAGCATTGACCATCTGTATACAGTCTGGTGTCCACAGGTCCCAGAAAGATGACCGCTGAGGGCCAAGAGGTGCATTAAACCGGAATGCCAATTTTACGTTTTTTCTCTTTCTTCTGCAGGTCTTTGATCCTGTGCCACTCCAAAACCAGCGATGACTTGAGCCCAGAGGAGCGGACGTCCCGGGACATCTCCGAGGGCCTCAGGGGGTCCTGGGGGTCTGGCTGGGGGGCGGAGCACATGTGGAGCTCGTGTCCCTCCACTCCAGAGAAACGGCTGGAGGCGGACGATCAAGGAAGCGACTCACTCAGGGAGAAGAAAGGGCTCCGGAGGTCATTCAGCATCAAGGTACAAGCCCCAAATATAGTTCACCTTGGAGAGACCCATGAGGAAAACGCATTAGACTTATTAGATTTAAGCATGTTTATTGATTGAGCATGTTTGGCGCCCTAGGCCCGGGCGGGATGCTGTTGAGCACGGCGCTTGCTCGCGTGCATGATCCCCAAAAAGCGGGCCTGCGATTGGGATAGCAGGACGTACTGCGCGGGCCTGAGAGCAAGAGCGAGCTGAGAACATGCGCACGCGCGCATGTTCAGCCAGCCGCTGTAGCAGAGGAATCTTTGAGCGAACTGAGAGCATGCGCGCACGCGCATGCTCAGCCAGCCGCAGCAGAGGAATCTTTGAGCAAACTGAGAACATGCGCGCACGCGCATGTTCAGCCAGCCGCAGCAGAGGAATCTTTGAGCGAACTGAGAATATGAGCGCACGCTCATATTCAGCCAGACGCTGAAGCAAGGAATCTTTGAGCGTTTGAGGAAAGTGCGTGCCGCCACCAGAATCTTATTGCTTACTTGCTTTGCTGGGAGCTTACGAGGAAGCCGGTAGACGTTGAGCTGCCATGATAGCGGTCGCATCTGGCCTGATGTAGGTGGAGAAGCCGAAGAGGACCAGCGCCCCAGCCGTTGCAGAGGAAGAGTGGGGGAGCCCCAGCGAGGTCGCGCGCGTGGCAGCGCCTATCCTGAAGGAGTGGGCTGTATAGAGCTGGGGAGACAAATTGCAGAGGAGCAGTAGGGATCTTAGCGGAGCTCTGAACCAGGTTGCTGTTATGGGAAGGTTGACTGGAGTGAGAATTAGAGGTCCGTTAAAATCTCCTTTTTGCCGCGGAGGCGAGTGTAACGCATCATGGACCTGTAGGGGCAGAGAGATGTGTCGAAGCGAGCTATTATTGTGTTGCAGGCGCCTGATCTTTGAATGTTTGAGATGAAGGTTGAATGGTCAGGGGACATTATGTTGGGTGAGAAGAGCGACCTTTGTTTAATGCTTCCACTACGTCGAGATGATCACGCATGACAGAGATCCTCTTTCTCTGCCACGTGTGATTCCGCAGCGCGCAGGCCACGACCACTGGGAATGTCTCGTGTAGGGCAGAGGAAATGCTCCGGGGAAAGTAGCGGGCCACGGCCGGCGAACCACTGGTCCTGGAAGAATCCCCCAAAAACCCACGGAAGGGGCAGCGTCCGTGTAGAAGCGGAGACCTGTAGGGGCAGAGAGACACACCGGAGAGGGCCATTGATGTTGCAGGCGCCTTTACGCTTAGAATCTTGGGTTGGAGAGTAGATAATTAGGCCAGTAGGATAGGACGGCAAGCCGTGTCTCGGACCGCATTGAAGGTTGAGTGAGCAGTGGTGAAACGCTTATGCAGAGAAGCCACAGAAGGCGAGCAGAAGATGCTGCGAGGAGGGCAGACATGTACTTGGAAGATGAGCCGGAGTTCAGCGCCGCTGCAGGATGGGCAGCATGATGGGGAGCCTGTGATCAGAAGAGTGAAGAACCAGGTATGGATGCCTTTGATTAGGAGTCCGATTGACGGCTCAGCGCAGCTACTTGGCCAGCTGCATCTGATAGAATCAGAAGATTCAGTAGAGAGATGAAGCACGACCGCCGAAGCGACCCTGGGAGCATAGGTGCGAGTCCGGCGCAGCGCGGCATACTCAGCCGGGCTGCATCCATTAGAAGCAGGATAAGCTTCTGAGAGAATGGGTTGCAGTAGCAGTAGCAGCAGCGGCAGCAGCAGTAGCCTCAGATAATAACAGCAAAAGTCCTGTATCAAGCCGCGGCAGCAGCAGTAGCAGCAGCAGCGTCCTTAGAAAATAACAGTAATAATTCTGTATCAAAGCCACAGCAGTAGAATGTTGTTGTAGCTGTTCAGGGTTTCAGTAAAAGAGATGCGAAGTGAAGAGAGATGGCAAAGTAAATGAAGCAGCAGCAGTAGTAGCAGCAGTAGCCGTATGAAGCAGCAGCAGTAGCAGTATGAAGCAGCAGCAGCAGTAGCAGTATGAAGCAGCAGCAGCTGCAGCATCCGTCGATAATAGCAGCAATAATCCTGTATCAAAGCCAGAGCAGTAGAATATTGTTGTAGCCGTTTAGTGTTTCAGTAAAAGAGATGCGAAGTGAAGAGGGATGTCAAAGTACATGAAGCAGCAGCAGCAGCGCAGCAGTAGCAGCAGCAGTAACGGTAGCAGTATGAAGCAGCAGAAGCAGCATTAGCAGTAGCAGTAGTAGCAGTATGAAGCAGCAGCGGTTGCAGCATCCGTAGACAATAGCAGCAATAATCCTGTATCAAAGCCAGAGCAGTAGAATATTGTTGTAGCCGTTTAGTGTTTCAGTAAAAGAGATGCGAAGTGAAGAGAGATGTCAAGTACATGAAGCAGCAGCAGCACGGCAGCAGATGCAGTATGAAGCAGCAGCGGCAGCAGTAGCAGCAGTAACGGTAGCAGCATGAAGCAGCAGCAGCAGCAGCGGTTGCAGCATCCGTAGATAATAACAGCAATAATCCTGTATCAAGCCACCGCAGTAGAATATAGTTGAAGCTGTTTAGTGTTTCAGTAAAAGAGATGCGCAGTGAAGAGAGGTGTCAAAGTAAAGAAGCAGCAGCAGCACGGCAGCAGATGCAGTATGAAGCAGCAGCGGCAGCAATAGCAGCAGTAGCGGCAGCAGAAGCAGCAAGCAGCAGCAGCACAATGCAATTCATACGAACAACAGACGTGTCACGCCAGCGTGCGCCGCTTGTCTCCGTGAGCCAGGTTACGTACGTGTCTGAAGAGCCGAGCCGTAGAGATAGGTGCAGCCTGGGAGCCTGCGGAGCGGCAGCGGCAGGAACAGCAGCAGCGGCACATGTAGTAGTAGGAGCAGCAGGAGCAGGCAGCAGGGACAGGCAGCAGCAGGAATAGGCAGCAGCGGGATCAGGCATCAGTAGGAACGGCAGCAGGGACCGCAGCAGCGGCGGTCAGAGAACCATGCCCACGGTTGTTTAAGAGCCTGAGGAAATAAATCAACCCGAATCCGAAACATTCCCATGCGAGAAACAGATGTCCCCTGGAGCCATCTTGCTGCTTTGGTTATGGCAGATACGCATGAACGATCACTTTTCCATGCGTTCATTAGCTCCAGCTCCACTTCAAACCCATTGCATATTCACATTGGGCCCCTTTTCTTTCTGCTGCACTTTCGAAATGCAACAACTGCAGTTTAGTTACCCAGTTTAATACTAGTGACCTAGCTATTTAAATGCATGGCCCCTCCTTCCTCCTGCAGATAGACGAATTTAAATACATAATTTAACAATAGTGACTTGCGAGTAATGAGATTGATGCTGTAAAGATGGCGCCGTGGCAAGAGCTCTGTGTGTGCCGTCTGGAGCACGATGGGGTAGTCTTTGCACATTTTTTCCAACGTGGTTTTACTGCAAGTGGCAGAACATGAATCTGAATTAATGCACATTGCTCCTCTTATATCCCTCAGACATTAGAGATTGATGCCATTTAAGATGCATTGACCCTCAGTTAGCTCAACACGTGTAAAACGGAGCCTGCAGACCAAGCACGGGCGAAGACTGACGCCTGCAGTCAAGTGCGTAGGGCAAAAACCAGCCGCCTGCAGCCTAGACTCCGGGATTAAACTGTCCGCGGTCGGCACACTCACTGTACTCACATGCCAGGAGACTTGGGAAGCAACGGGACAACGCGGCACCGCCAGTCGGAGGCAGGGACACGCACGGCACCGCCAGACCGTCTGCGCGCGGCAGCAGACCACAAGGAACGAGCGCACAGAACCGCGGAGGGGCCCCGCGGAGCAGCCCGCAGAAGAGCCCACAGAGGAGGAGAGCAGTGGAGACACGCGAACCACAGCAGGTGCAGGGACGTGGAGGAGGAGCAGACCACGAGCAGCCAGACTGAGGACAGCAGGGCCACGCGCACGAGCAACACGTGAGCAGAAGCGACCCCTCCAGAACAACGCATGCATTTGCGAACAGGTGCGTTAGCGACATGCACCTTGCAGGCTTCAGAAGTTTGCAGACTTCAGAAGATCGGGAAATGGGCGTCTCCGGCTTTTAACTTGCTGTCCTGGTGGTTATTGGTTGACTGGGTGTGGGCGTTGCTGGTATTGATGAGTCGAGGAAGAGCAGCCTGTGGCCTGGCAGCAACAGCCGGGTCTACCACGGTGAACTTTCGCGAAAGCTCCATAATACAGCTCTGAGTGTGATTTCATAGTGGTCTCTCTCTGGTTGCTCTCTCATCTCTCTTTCTGGTCTTTTTCTCCCTCTGGTGTCTATCTGACCTCTCTCTGGTTGGTCTCTGGTTCCTCTTTGGTCTCTCTCTGTTCTCTCTCTAGACCAGGGGTGTCAAACTCATTTTTGTCGGGGGCCAAATTTAAAAAAACATAAGCTGGTTGGGGCCAGAAGTATAAAAGTGGTATATATCTTTATTCTTACATTTTTTTGTCTTTTGATAAAATCACAACATTTGTCATGAGTTTGGACATTATTTTCTAGTGGATGGATTCAACCACAACTGGACCAAATATCAATGAGAGATGTTCTCTCTCTGGTCTCTCTCTGGTCTCTCTCTGGTCTCTCTCTGGACTCTCTCTGGTCTCTCTCTGGACTCTCTCTGGTCTCTCTCTGGTCTCTCTCTGGTCTCTCTCTGGTCTCTTTCCTGTCTCTATTTGGTCGGTCTTTAGTCTCTCTTTGGACTCTCTCTGTTCTCTCTCTGTTCTCTCTCTGGTCTCTATCTGGTCTCTATCTGGTCTCTAAATGGTCTCTAAATGGTCTCTCCCTGTAGCGTACTAGTGTAGCGTAAGTCGTTCATGTTTATGACTTTATTATGAACCAGCTCTGGTTTCAGAGCAGCTGTCGTCATAGAGACAGGTCCACAGCGTTTGTCTTCATCAGCACAAAGAACATGATACAGACACGACTCCGAGGATATATTGTACTTCAGTCAATGCAAAAGTATTCTGTGTGTTTTAACTGTGAAACACACAGAATAACCTGCTCCTCTGGGTTATTCCTGGTTTCCTGTTGTGTCTCAGTCTGCACATTTACAGTGTTCAGTTTCACTAAATCATATCTGTTGAGTGGTTTCTCCTGCGTTTGAGCGGTTTCTCCTGCGTTTGAGCGGTTTCTCCTGCGTTTGAGTGGTTTCTCTGCAGAGAACTTTACAAAGCTCAGCGTATGTTTCTCTCACAGAAGCTCTTATCTCCAACCTTGTCCATTAGAATCAACTGTGGCTACAATTCTGTAAAAGTAGAATTGTCCTTGTTGTTGTCGTTGTCGTTGTCCATGCAAACATCTCACACCAAACACACTGTATCCTGTCATTATTGTGTTAGGATAATTTATTTAGGGCAAATATCACATTAGCCCTGGTCTCAGGTCTCTGTACTGGCTTCCTGTGGCTCAGAGAACATACATTAAAGCAGCTCTGCTTGTGTACAAGTCCCTCCATGGTCTAGTTCTGTGACATGTTGGTGCAATATGAACCAACTCTAAGTAGCACAGGGACTGGCCTCTTGCTGGTGCCCAGGGTCAAGACTAAACATGGGCAGGCAGCGTTTCAGATTTATGCAGCTAAATTCTGGATAATTCTGCCTGAAAATATGAGACAGGCTTCTGCTCTGACAATGTTATATGTGATTATGTATGTGTGTGTATGTGTGTGTGTGTGTGTGTGTGTGTGTGTGTGTGTGTGTGTCCAGGAGAGCAGTATTTGGCGCATGTGTGTAGCCGCTCGTCCCCATGAGGAGGTGAAGGGGCCACAGACTGACCCCAGGACTGAAGGAGGACCCCTTCAGAGGTAACCAACACTGTTACCATGGAAACCCCACTGGTCACCACACATTTGAAAATTAACACAAAAGCCATCAGTTTCCACCCGGCCTATACTCTACTCTACTCTACTCTACTCTACTCTACCTGGTTGTGTTTCCATTTCACTTTATTATCCGGTACCGTATTCTTGCAATCTTTCGACAACAAATCCTGGGAAATTCCTTGGTAACCATGGCTTCCTGCAGCACTCTGGCCAATCACTCTAGTACCAGCTCGGCCTAGATGGAACCAGGGCCAAGAGGGACTAAAGAAGGACCTGGCACTAGTTAAATAGGGTGTGTAGAGTAGAGTAGAGTAGAGCAGAGTAGTGTAGAGCTAGTAGAATCGGATCTACTCATGCTCGCGCCAAACTCATTCTAATGTGGGTGAAGTGTCTTGCCTGAGGACACAACCACAGTTTGGCACTTTTTAGCCGCCCCACTGTGGCACCTGGTGTTCCCAGTGGTTGCTCATCACAGAACTAACCAGGCTCTGCTCTGCTTAGCTTCAGAGGTATAACGGGATCTGGGGTTCACATGTTATTTATTCATTTAAGCAAGCTGTTGTTCAGGCTTAGGGTTTTAGCATAGTTTCAGACACGTTCTAGTGTGAGCTTTGGTGGAGTTTTGAAACCCAAATAGGATTATCTCTCATTAGAAGCAATGTTATTTTATACTGGATCTTAAAACAAAAAAATCCAAACAATAACAAATGGTTTGAGTTTTCATGTTTGTTTACATTTACATCTATTTGAAGTCGGTGATCAGCCATTTTCTGATTATTCATTGTTTCTGCAGGGTTCTCGTCAGCACAGACACACCGGCTGCTCTTCATGGTCAGGGCATCAGTGGGTGTGGCCTGACAGAGGCGGAGACAGCAAGGGCCGCTCACTTCAAAGCCTGCTGTGAGGTACACGTCACCCCCAGTGGAGGCGGAGGAAATAAGCGTCACTGAGTCCATCTGAGTGTGATTACAGCTGTAGAGGACTTATAGTTTAATAAGAGAATATCGGTCACTAAACAGCATCATGAAAACTCAAAAACCACAGACAACATCCAGCATCCACTTTGGCAAACAGCACCAACAGCTGAACAGAGGCCTGATTTAAGTTTGTACGGTTAGTCCTGGTGGTGGCAGTATCCTGCTGTGGGAATTCAAGTGGATGCAGCAAAATTAGGAGAAAAAGTGTTGTAGAAATTGGGAGGTCAATTTCCATCTTACAACAACTACTACTTGTTATATTTGTAGTAATAGCAGTAAAAGTTGTAACAGCAGTAGCACCAGAAGCAGCAATAGAAGCAGTAGTAGTAGCAGCAGCATTATTATTAGCAGAAGTAGTAGTCGTTGTGGTCAGCTGTAGTGATAGCAGTATTACTAAGGGGTATGAAGGGGTAGTAGCAATGGCAGCAGCAGTAACAGTAGCCGTGGTAGTAGCAACAGCAGCAGTAGCAGCAGCAGTGGTAGTAGCAACAGCAGCAGTAGCAGCAGCAGTGGTAGTAGCAACAGCAGCAGTAGCAGCAGCAGTAGTGGTGACCAGATCAGTGACACAGCTGCAGCTTCAGTCAGAGCAGTGGGCAGAGTGTAGGACAGAGGAATGTGGCAGTGCAGCGGTCAGAACTGACCAAACCCACACAGACACAGACTGGACTGAGGCTGGAGTTCTACTGAATTATGCCCTTTTGTTTGGACTTAGACAAACATCATAAAATTATACATTTAGACATTGTGTTCTCAATATTTTTATCTTTTACTGTTTTGTGACATAAATAAGGCTCTCAAAGTGTTTTACAGCTGTGTGCTTACATATCTTACCTCTGTATAGAACTGTTCTCAAACATTTGTGGACTTTGTCTGTGGAATCAGCATGTTGTATAAATCGGAACTATTTCACCTGGATCCAGTGCAGAGGGTGGGGAAGCAGAGCTCTGACTGCAGATGCTTCTCCTTCTTCACAAGTGATCCATCTGTCAGTCTCAGCTCCATCCTTCCCTCACTGAGAACAAGTCCTTCCTTCCCCTAGAAAGGACCTCTGATCTATTATGCAATGTTTCCAATGTTCACAATTATTTGTTTTAGATTAACATTGTGTTGAGTTTTGACAGCCATATCAGATGTCTGGTTCCTTCTGCTGATCCATCGACCAAATCAAAGTAACTGTATCTCTGACTTTCTTCATTTCCACTCTTCCTCTTGGTCAATGAGACTTACCAGTAAACAAAAAAGTGTTTTCCGGTTAACACATCATTGGATTAAAATGTTTTTATTATGCAGTATCTCTGTGTATATTCCAGGACCGCTCCAGCCCTCTGCACCAGTACCCCCCAGATGCCCTGCCCCAGACGTTCCCCCCAGATGCCCTGTCTCTGCCGGGGTACAGCGACGAGGAAATCCCCACCAACAACAACCACCTCAAGGCACGATTTACGTTTTCCACAAGCTCTACTCGACTCGACTCGAATCTACTCTATAGTCAGCTGCAAATATGGTTTGACCCCAAAAAAATTCTAACAAAAGATTTTTCAATGGTTTACAGTAGTATCAGATGTACTTAAAAACATACTAAAAGTTTACCAAAGTTTGACTCCAAGAAAGGCCTCATTTTCAAAATGGCGGCGATCAGGTCCTTAAAATGACCATTACTCCCATGTACAGTATTACTCCTAGACCAGGAATACTGGTGTCTGATATCTGCTTTGGTCAAGTACAATGATATATTAAAGCAATTGGTTATAAGCATATGTATGCGAAAAATAAAAACAAGTTCCCTTAAGTAATCCCGTATTTCTCTTTTATCATATTGTTTTTCCTAGTTTTGGTGGTTTCTGTGGTTCATAACCATTATTTTGATTCCAATAAAGAATTATCAGAAAGGTTTGGTACTGTAAAATTAGTCAAAACAGGGCCAACCCCTCTCAAGGAGTTGGGTTCCAGAGCCCAAGCTTTGTGTGGAGGTGAGGCCGACTATCTCTAGTCGGTATCTTTCAACATCTTTCTTGGAGCTCGGGCTTCCACATGCTCTTTGAATAAGAAGAAACATCCATCCATTTTCTTCCCTTATATCCATTTCTGGGTCGGGGGGGCTGTCAGAGCTGCACCCAGTAGGGGCTTCCTGCCCATCTTGGACGCCATCTTGAAAATTATACCTTTCTAGTGGTCAAATTTTGGTAAACTTTTAGTATGTTATTAATGACACCTAATACTACAAAAAACATAAAAAAAAACCTTTTGTTAGAATTTTTTTGGGGTTAGGTGCGTTTTTTTCATATATGCAGCCGCCTACTACTCTACTGTCCTCTACTCTACCCTGGATTGCATTTGTAACCAGAGCTGAGGAGCTGCATGTGTCACAGGCTGAAGATTCTGGCAACTTTATTAGACCAGTAATTAAGATGAAGAGATCCTTTATTTGTCCCACAGTGGGGAAATTTCAGTGTTGCATCACAGGTTATAGAACAGTAGGAAGGAGGAGCACACAACACACGTTTCCTGAACAGTAGCTGTCCTAATTATAATAAAGCAAAATTTCTAACTCTAGCATCTATAACGAGTATAAAAACTCTATCTTGAAAATAATAATTGATGTAAAAATGTAACATTATATACAGAGTATAAAGTACTGTGTATTCTTGTGCAAGTAAAATGTGGTTATATGTTAGTATCTGTACATTAGCAGCAGTATGTTTACATCTGTACATTAGCAGCAGTATGGTTACATCTGTACATTAGCAGCAGTATGTTTACATCTGTACATTAGCAGCAGTATATTGCACATTCAGGTATAAGATAAAGATATTGCACTGGTATAAAATAAGAATACCAGCTTTATTTATAAAGCACTTTTATAAAACTTTACAGTTCAGCCAAATATTACCTAACATCAAACATTATCAAAAGCCAGTGAAAAAAGATGAGTTTTAAGAAGTGACTTAAAAACAGGCAGAGACTGAGCCTGTCTTATCTCAATGGGTAACTGATTCCAAAGGCGTGGTCCTGCAACAGAAAAGGCTCGGTCACCACGAAGCTTACACTGTGTCTTAGGGACCACCAGCATCAGCTGATCTGCCGACCTCAGGGCACGACAGGGAACATAGGGCAGAATAATATCACAGAGGTAGGAGGGGGCCTGGCCGTTTAAACATTTAAAGGTAAATAAAAGAATTTTAAAATCAATTCTAAAACCCACCGGAAGCCAGTGCAGAGATTTTAAAACCGGTGTAACATGCTCACATCTACGAGTACCAGTTAAAAGTCAAGCTGCAGAATTCGGGACGAGCTGCAGCCGAGAAAGTGCCTGTTGGCTCAGCCCACAGTAGAGTGCATTGCAGTAGTCTAAGCGGGTTGTCACAAAAGCATGCAGTTTCAAAGTGCTGCTTTGTTAAAATAGGCTTTATTTTTGCAAGTTACCCTAGCTGAAATAAGCTTGACGACTTTTGAAATCTGCTGGTCAAGTTTCAGGTTCTCGTCCATCCTAACACCCAGATTAGTCAACGATGCATGACACGTGGAAACAGGTTGGAATCAGGTTGGCAGTGTTCATTAGTCCTTATTGTTTGTTTGTAAAGTCTGATAGCAGCAGCAATGAAAGACCTGCGGAACCTCTCCTTCACACATCGAGGATGAATAAGTCTGTCACTGCAGCTGCTCTCCAGAGCAGAGCGTGTCCTGCAGCGGGTGACAGTCATGGTCCAGCATAGATGTTAGTTATAGTGCTTATAATAGTGCATTTGGCATACACTGTGTCTTACAGTATTGTTATACTCGTAAGTGAGTAACAAGTCCACTGATTTGAAAACAATCCTTGTCCTTTAAGCTGAGAACAAAGAACATGTGACTTATTCTCTGTTTAAATCTGTCATGTTGTAGCTGCCGATCCCAGAGGTGAATGAAGACAGGTACTGGGAGACGAAGCAGACGCAACAGATCCCACAGAACGACAACAACAAGATCCATCCTGCTTCTACAAGTATGACCCAGGCACAAAACACACAGTGTGTTTCCTAATCATCAGAAACAAAGTAATCTACCTTACCTTTAAAGCTCACTGTAAAACTCTGTATACAATTTTAAAGTATTGTGTCAATGCCTGAATATCATGCATTCTACTGAGAGGAGAGCTGTCTATCTGACCAACTCCCTTCATGAAAAGCTTAAACAATATATGTGAGAAAACAGGTCATAAAACCAACAGCTCAGCAATACCTTCATCTGCTGGAGACAGTGAGAATTACAGCCAATCGATATGGGCCTCCCCGAGTCCCCAACAGTTTTTTTTCACCGTTGTTTTCTGAGTAGTTCCTTCTCGATGCAATCTCTGCACATTTATTAACATGTCTGGACAGTGGTCATCCCGCTCCCTATGGACCAATGGCTCCTATTTGTTTGTTATTATTGCATTTCCTGATGCGTTTAATGAGGTATAGCTTTACAGGAAGTGTTAAACTAATTAGGAATGTGTTACAAGCACCTTTTTAATTGGAAGAATCTGGTTTGTTTGAGGTACAGCGGTGCCCCTTTCATGGCCTCACTGTTTTTTTTTTGTACAGTGTAAAACTGAATATAACCGCTAGTACATTCTCTCTCTCAGGTCTCTCTATCTGGTCTTTCTCTCTTCAGCCTCTCTGGTCTCTCTCAGATCTTTCTGGTCCACTTTATTCCATGGTGTACGTTAAGCTACTCTGTCCTTATCTCTTCCATGTCTCTTTACTCTGCTGCTGAAGCTGGGGTCCATCCGTACTGGATCGGAGACCTGGAGACCATCATCATGAAGAACCCTGAGTTGTACCATCCGCACAGGAACCATGCCTTTTATGGAAACAGGAAGTCCCTATCGCAGCAGCTGGAGCTCTTTCACAACAGCACACGGGTAAAATGCCAATCTACTATACATAATATATACAGTCACATGTGGACTTTAAGCATAGATATAAAGACATACAACAAATTTCAAATGCTTTTTTCCAGTGCGTATCTCGTCCGTCGCGGTCGCTCAGCTCGGCGCAGCTCCTTCACTCCAGCAGCAGCTCTCAAGCTTTCATCATCTGTAACATTGTTCTGATGAAAGGACAGGGGAAGGTAAGAAACACGCTACTTTTACTTTGAAAAGCAAATTTACTGTAGAACCAGGACTGACAGGTGGCGGGGAGCAGGCTGGGGTAGTCCACAGGTGCATGTAAAAGTGGCAGGATTCAGGGGTCCCATCATCACACCTTGAAACATACAGTGGATGAAGTGACTCGCTTATAACTTCTTCACTTCTCAGTATCCAATAGTTCAGAGTTCCAAGAGAGCATGGAGCTGACTTATTTTTGGGAATTCTTTCTCCGATGAGACTCTGACTCCAAATTAGTATGATTGAAGTATTGTGGTAGTGTTTGAATCATAGACTGTATATATTAACAGACAGAGTCACGCCTATCTCCGCCGTTCTAACTAATGGGCCAAAAAATGTGCTCTACTGGAGCTATCCAAAATAGCCGCGAGTGGTCCCGCCCACAAGAAAATTGTGAAAAAATGCATTTGCGCATGCGTCAGCCGGCGCAAGCTCCATTCATTTGAACGAGAGACTTCAAAAATTCACAGCAAGTAAACTAGAGTGGACCAAAAAAATTCACCCCCCTCAGCATTGACACACATGTGGAACGGAGCTTTGGGCCAGGAGCCAAAGCTATATGTTAGCATTGGCTAATTCACCACCCCCATTTTGGCCACTTTTGAGCTGGGGAGCCCCCCCCCCCCCCACTGGTTTGAAACAGAAGACTTGTTTTTTTTGTAAATTTGGACTGATTTAATCCAATATTTTATGAGTACATTGCTCCGTCCAGGGCCTGGGCTTCAGTATTGTGGGAGGCAGAGACAGTATGTATGGACCGATGGGGATCTATGTCAAGACCATCTTCCCCAAAGGAGCCGCAGCTGCAGACGGACGACTACAGGAAGGTGAGCAAACCCATTCCATCTTCACCTCAGAAAGGTTGTTTTGGTCGTCCAGATTTGGGTCAAACATGTGGCTGTGTTTCTCTTTTGTGTTGTTTTTAGGTGATGAGATCCTGGAGCTGAACGGAGAGTCGCTTCACGGTCTAACTCACGACGAGGCTCTCAACAAATTCAAAGTAGGTGGCCATAAAGGACTGACGTAAATCAATCACTGCGCAAAATAAGATAATTCTTGCATTATTGATAATTCGCTGATGCGACTCTGTCCTCCTCATATCTCACAGGCTAAACACTTATGGCCCTTTTTGGTGAATTAAGGGCCATGATTCAGGGGACTTTTTACGAACCTGTATTGTCCTCCCCCTCCCTCACACCATCCGTCCCTTTCTCACCCCTCTCTCATTCCTGTAGCTCATCCGTAAGGGCGTCCTGACTCTGGTGGTGCGTACGAGCCTCAGGGTGGATGTGTGTGTTCCCTCTCAGCTCGCCCTGTGTCGTTCTCGCTCTCTCAGCTCCACCGCCGGCGTGTCCCGGATCAGCAGCGACCTCAGCGACCTCAGCCTCGACCAGAGCCCCGCCCCCGACCTCAGCCACAAGCCCCAGGACCGGGTCGTGATGGAGATCGCCCTCCACAAAGGTCTGTAGTCTCTGTGAGCTCAGAGAGGGAACCGGAACTGAAAGAGTAGCAATAGTAGTATAAAAGCTTTACTGAGCCACTTTATACAGAATGTTAGACTTACTTATTTATTATGCTAATGTTAGAGATGTCATACTTTCTTATTTATTGTGCTAAAGTTATTCCTACTGTTCTGTGACTGGTGATGCAACACTGAACTATTCCCCACCGTGGGACTTAATCTTACTACTAATTATCAATAACAGCTCTATCTAACTTTTGTCTGGTGTAGAAGAACCAATTTAATGAAGCCAAGACGACAAAATGAACCTTCCTAAACTAGTATTGATAATAATACTTTTTAATTATATAGCACAGGCATGTTCAAACTATGGGGTTTATAAATACACAAAGTAGCCGTTGCGGAACTTTCAGTGTCATCCAGCCAACTTAAGCTCCACCAGTACAGTCATTTTGTTTGTCGTTGTGAAGCTCAGGCCCTCTGGAATCCTGCCGTTAACCTTATTTGTAAATTCTGACATCAGTTTTTGATCGTGTCGCAAAATTCCATATATAGTGCTACAGCTGAGGCGTGGATCAATCTGACATATATCAAAGCCCACAGCCTGAAACCAGTGAAAACAGTTTATTTATCATTATTCTGATCATCAACAGTTGAAGAAGATGACATGTCTGGGATCGCGTCTTTCATTCAGACAGAAGACATGTTTTATTGTCGATGGTAGAGACAGCACGAACAACACGAACACAGATACAACAGAATGCAAGTGTATTATACAGAGCGGAGGCATGGAGACCTCCAATCAGCAGCTTCCACGGTGTGCTTGTAGCTTGGCCTTCAGATAGACAAAACAAGGGAAAAGTACTGGCTTCTGCACATTGATAGAATTATGAGTTTAACTTTAACAAAAGTTGCTTAAAAGTGTTATGAAATCTCACACTGTGTTCAATGAAAATCCCATTGATGATAATGTGGATTTATAACTTTATTTGATAACTTTATAACTTTTATATTATGAAATTATCAATACTGACAATACACTTCAAAAAGTGAAGAAGAAATCTAAACCCTTTAATGGTTTCCTCAACCATTTGGTGGATCACTTTTATACTTGAAGCTTGGAACTGAAATCTACCTCATTTGGAGCATCTCTGTCACTTGGTTTTAAGCACTTTTACCATCAAACTGCATTTCAAACAATTGGTAAAGGCCTATTGTCAAAAACTAGGGGTTCAAAAAAGAAAAAAAGACATACAAAAAAAGTATGCTACTACAGGAAAAAAATTTATTGCTTTCTATAAGGAGTTTTAACTGGGTTTAACTGTTAATTTGAGCACATTTTGACTGCCTTAAAAAAGATGTTGTCAATGCGACGAGCAAAACTATCTTGTTTTAAAAGATACAAGAAATGAAAACAAGCAACTGTTCATGAAATACGACAAAATGGCTTTGTCCCATTGGCAAATCTTGTTTTAATACGAGAATTTATCATATTAAGACAAATACCACTCGACACAAGCTTTTATTACCTCCTATTTTATCATTTTTTTGCAGTGTAGCTAATGTAGCTGGGGTTTGAATCAATGGGTAGTTTGTCTCACTGCGTGCAAACCCTTGACTTATCCCCAATCCTAACCAAAGTCAAATAAAATGTTCCCCAAACCTTAACCAAATAAACTGCTCATAACCCTAAACATAACCAAATACACTGCTCCTAACCATACCCTTTACCACATACACTGCTCCTCTGTGCCTTATGTACTGTGTGTATACCTTGCATTGTGTAGCTTACATACAGCTTGTATTGAGTATGTCCTCTGTGTTGTGGCAGAGTGTGGCGTGGGGCTGGGGATCGGCCTGTGCTGCGTCCCATCTCTGGATCTCTGTCCTGGGATCTACATCCACACTCTGTCCCCTGGCTCTGTGGCTCACATGGACGGCAGACTACGGTAACAAATCACCCACACTCCAACTCATTGTGGCACATGGTCTCCAGAAAACTAGAGAAGCTTGTTAAAAGAGGTTAACTTGCAAAGTTGGAGCTTGTCGATCGTGGTGTAGCAGAACATGGACATTAGAACTCCTTAAATTTAGAAAATATGACAATAAAACGTGATTATTGTCACTTTTTCAGAAAATGGCTCAATTATTTTAAGCTACCAAGACAGAGGCCCACATAAAACGGAACAAAGGGCCGCAATCGGCCCGCGGGCTTTAGTTTGGACATGCCTGACTCAGGGATTCAATAAATGTCGAGAAGGAATACATACAACATTCCTTGTAAATTTGTTGCAATTTTTAGTTTTTTTTTATTGATTTGGCTGGAAATAAGAGTGATACCGATGTTTGATAGTTATATTGAATGTGTAACAAAGTTCCACATTTAGTTAAGTTAAGAGAACGTTTAGTCCTCCCAAAGTGGGCAAATGTTGGTATCTCTAAAATGCTCGACTAGATGCTGTTCCTCTGCAGAGTGAAATGGCGCTCCCTTAGAGACAGGGTCATGACAGCTCAGTCATATGGCAGGAGCTCGGAGAAGAGCCGCTGCTCCTCCACGTGGAGTGGAGTCAGTTGAAGTTGCTTGGGCATCTGTTTGGGATGGCTACAGGAGACCGGGGGGAGACCCAGGACAAGCTGGAGGGACTGTGTCTCTCAGCTGGCCTGGGAACGCCTCAGGATTGGCGTAAGTGTGTGTGGAGAGGAAAGTCTGGGCGTCTGGGCTCAGACTGCTGCCCCTGCGAACCGGCAACAGATGAAGTGAAAAAAAATGGATGGAGAATGGATTGGGTGCTTTGGCTGATAGTCTTTTTCCCACTGAAAAGGTTCGATGATACAGGGTGTGATCAGGTTCCAGATGTTTGTGTGATATGATTCCAGATGTTTCTTCTCTCTGCAGATGTGGTGATGAGATCATGGAGATTGATGACACTGTGGTTGATCACATGACTCTGAACGATGTTTACAATGTACTGAGTCAGAGCAGACCAGGTCCAGTCCACATCACTATCAGCAGACACCCAGACCCAAAGGTACACACCAAGCCCCCGTGATCCAAGATGGCAGCCATTTCAAATCAATGGCTTGTGCTCAGTGGTGCATGGGACATACACGGGGACCGAAAGATGAGCAGAACTCACCCATATTTGGGCATCGTCTAGTCCTCCCGGTTCTGTGCTGTGGACCAGAGCCAAACGAGCAGAGTTTGTTCAGGATGACAAGGAACACTCACATCCCCACAAAAGCCAACCTTCATGAAAGCTGTAGGTTCTCTGTCAGCTGAGGTCGAGCTGTTTTAGTTTACATTGAGTTCTATAAGACTTTTTTCTGGGTAGCCCGCGTGAATTTTGTCTGCAGTACCACGTCGCCCCCTGTGCCCGTTGGTGGGACAGCTATAAGCTAGTAATACCCTATCCATATATTAATATACTGTAGATCCATGTTACACAGACACCGAGACACACCCACACACTCACATAAACATACACATACATGCACAAACACACACACACACACTAACAATATTTAAAGCCCTTTGCACTCAACATTTTGGGCTTGAATCTGTCGTTTAGCCCTCTTTGTGATCTTGGTGTTTATATTGTTATGTTGTTATGTTGTTATAATAAATCCAGATATTAGTCATATTAGGATTGACCAATCCTGAACCCGGTAAATGCTATTGTGAGTACTTAATTTGCACTTGAATATAGAAGACTTTTTCTGAAGACTTTTGAAGCATGGTTTTTTTATCTTATTTTTTTTATTTTGTTTTACTTTTTAGTTTGCAACTTCCTGTTACTGACAACGGCAATGGAATAAAAATCTGATTCTGAGATGCCTTCATTTAGGGAGGATTTTCCAGCTTGCCTCAGCAACCGTCTTAACCACACATTAGTTTGCATCTGCCCCTGTAACACCATGAAACAAACCCCATCAGAACAAATGCCCATATAAGGAAAATGGCTTCAGCTAGCTTATATTTAAATCGACCTCTTCTGCTTTAAGGCCAACACTATGGTGATGTCACACTCTGTATGTCCAGTCCTCACATACCGCTCTGCTCTGTCTGTGTCTCAGGTCTCGGAGCAGCAGTTGAACGCTGCCATCGCTCAGGCCGTGGAGAACAGTAGACTGAGGAAGGACAAGAGCCAGTGGAGCATCGACAGTGAGCACACACACTGGGGTTGGGGGTTTGATCCCGGCTTCTCTGAATGTAAAAAGCCGGTGGCCAATAGCTGAAACTGTTTGATAGCCTGTGTCAAGGTTTATTATACTTAGTTTATATTTTTAAACATACTCATACTCAATACATCTAACCTTTACTTTTACTTCAATTCGATTGCGATAAATCTTGCAGCCACTGTCAGAGGTGAATGGGGGCAGCCTCAGTCCTGGATCTACAGCTTCAGTCCTGGATCTACAGCCTCAGTCCTGGACCTATAGCCTCAGTTCTGGATCTATAGCCTCAGTCCTGGATCTACAGCCTCAGTCCTGGATCTACAGCCTCAGTCCTGGATCTACAGCCTCAGTCCTGGATCTACAGCCAACTCTACAAAAACTGACCATCTTAGTTCAGCTTTAGCTAGCGAGTAGATTTGCTCTTTGGTTGCTAGATTGTTGCTATCCACAGTTTTGCTCCTGCTTCCTGTTCAAAGAGCCTGTTATTGCCAGCTTTAATCTGATCTTTTCGGCAGGTCTGCGTAAGGAGTCGTGCTCGTACCGGCGGCAGAGGTGCGACCGCTGTCTGGACTCGGGGATGACCGCCTCCCGAGCTCAGAGGACCATGACCCGCTCCTGCAGCGAGAACACCAGCTGCACCAACCACAACCGCTGCTCCGCCCGGCTCCACCCACACCACAGCCAAACAGGAGCCCCCCTCCTGTTCCACCCACACCACAGCCAATCAGGAGCCCCGTTTCTGCTCCACCCACACCACAGCCAATCAGCCGTTCGCGTGCACAGCCTGGACACGCCCCCGGTGAGAACAAAGTGAACTGGTCTGAAATATACAATACACTTCACATATTACAATACACTTACACAGTATATACAACTACAATATACAATACACTACATATACTATAAACTGCGATATACAATACACTTTATATGTACTGCAGAGACTAATAGACAATATGAAAATCAGCCAATCAACTCTCAGCCCTAAGAGTCAAAGAGTCACTCACAAGGCTTTTACCTCTGATTTGTTCACAACATTTTACTTTGACAAGACTCTTTGTGTTGACTTAAACAGAATAAAAAAGGTATCCCAGCTTTAAGCTTACAGATTTTGTTCTCTCTTCCTAAAGTCGACGTCTGAGCAATGGTCCGACAACAGGCTGTCAGTGCCTGTGTATCCGGATGAAGACTACAACATCCCATACAACAGCCCCCTCACACTGGAGCTGGGCTTCAGGGGCAACAAGGTACAAAGGACTGAGGCTGTACTGTAGATCCAGGGCTGAGGCCATAGATCCAGGACTGAGGCTGTAGATCCAGGACTGAGGCTGTAGATCCAGGACTGAGGCTGTAGATCCAGGGCTGAGGCCATAGATCCAGGACTGAGGCTGTAGATCCAGGACTGAGGCTGTAGATCCAGGGCTGAGGCCATAGATCCAGGACTGAGGCTGTAGATCCAGGACTGAGGCTATAGATCCAGGGCTGAGGCCATAGATCCAGAATGGAGGCTGTAGATCCAGGACTGAGGCTGTAAATCCTGGACTGAGGCTATAGATCCATAACTGAGGCTGTAGATCCAGGACACAAGTTGTAGATCCAGGACTTCTATTACAACACTATCCTGTCGCCTTGTTTTTTAAACTAACCTCATTTATTCCTGATGCAACATCTTCTGATTCTCTCTACAGTTTGTTTGCAGTATTTTCAAAGCCTTACAGAAACTGCTCAGGTTTTTACTGAGGAATGTACGTGACATCACCCTCACTCTGCATGCTGCTGTCTGTTTAACGCTAGAACTCCTACAGCAGTCAATTTAACGGCTTTTATTTTTGAAAATGTAAGTGCTCAGCGTATGAACCTGTCTGATCTTCATAACTTTGTGCTTTTTTTGTTTTAGTTTTTATAAAATTGTATTCTGATGTTAGCACTACCTTTTAACCACTACACTAAAATTATTATTGTTTTGCTTGGTAACCTTGGTAACTTTCTCTGGACTGGTCCTGAACCGTCTCTGAGCCGTGTCAGACACATTGGCCAAAATGTTTTTGCTGTATTCCAGTTATAATCACCAATTTTATTCCTTTCTATAAGTGCATGAAGACACTTACTACATTTTTTGGGGGTAATTTCTTAGAAAGCTCAGTGGTTTGAATGGGAGCAGTCAAAATGATGGCTCTGGGAGTGCTAGAGTTAAGACTCATAGAACGCTTGTTTGAAACTCCACTGCATGTTGTGTTTGTCTTTAATAACGCTTAGAGGGAACGGTGGAAGATGATTGACTTTTTTTCAATTAGTGGAAGATCGTGTTCTCCTTACAGCCCATGTGGATTCAGGCTGCAGTACGGCATGTACCACAGAGCATTAAAACAACACTACATAATATCACACATCCCTGGTGCAGCCCTGGTGGATGCTAGAGTAAAACCAAGAATGCAAAACTAGTAATTTCATTAAAATAATCAATCATATCTAAATTCTGTAAGACTTTAGAAATATTGCTTTAGTGTATTGCTTTTCACGAACACAGCTACACAAGTGGCTGAGTTGCAGAAGCTCTGAGCGGAAACGGGCGTGTTGCTGTTGCACCTTTTTGTGGTTTTGATTCTAAAATTTATGTCACATTCACTTCCTGTTTGTTTATCAGGAAGAGGAAGACTCACAAGAAGACTCAGGGGTTCAAGATCTGAGCTGCACCAGTGAACAACTACTCTCAGGTAAAACTAGCTCCACATTTCGAAAAGTTGGATTTTACAGCAACAGCAGCAGTAGATTTATGCACAACTTAGATTTCATACAAATTGTAATTGATTTTGATATAGTATATTGATGGTACGTTTTTGAGTAGTCATGTCATTTAAGGTCAGACTGTAGAAAGTCAAGTTTATTTGTAGTGCACAGTTCAAACACCAAACTGTACTTGGTACAGTTTGGTAAAAAGCTGCTGTTGTTGTTATTGAATGGTGGTTGTTAAAATTTAATTTAAAATGTATTATTACTCGAACATTTCTGACCTGATTTGAGGGTTTTAGAGACAGATACTCAGGGTGACAGACCTCGCAATGTTTCTATTTTTTTTTTAAATTATAATTATTGTTATGTATTTCATTCTCCGTTCTTGTAGGACTGAGTCTGGTCCATGTTCTCCTGTAGGACTGAGTCTGGTCCATGTCCCCCTGTAGGACTGAGTCTGGTCCATGTCCCCCTGTAGGACTGAGTCTGGTCCATGTCCTCCTGTAGGACTGAGTCTGGTCCATGTTATCCTGTAGGACTGAGTCTGGTCCATGTTATCCTGTAGGACATATTGTTTCTGCGTATTAACCGACCTAATGGCAGCATGTAGAGACTGAACAGAAGCGGCCCCAGGATTGACCCCTGTGGCACTTCATAGTTCAGGGCCACATGATCTGGGGCACAGTTTCCAATCTGTTTCCAAACTCCTCTTCTAGATAAGACTTAAACCAACCATGCAAAACCCTCCAAATCCTCTAGTCTTGACTTGTTCATGCTGCACACTTTGGGTCCAGAATGTAAACCTTGGAGTGTTCCAGTAACCTTGAGTTAAGTCTAAAACAATCCCATCAAACCCACTGAGGCGAGGAGTGCTCAGAAATGCATTCGAAATTACATTGGCCTAATGCTTAGTGCTATAAAGTGCTATAAATATCCAGACAAAGTGGATTACAGTCCGCAATCTCCAATCACTTCCGTTCTATGAAAAGGGGTACATGCTTGACTTGAATATTAACCATAATAATAATAATAATAATAGTAATAATAATAAGAATGATGGAAATAGTAATGATAATTAATGGGGGGTTTTTTTAACAACAAAAAGATAAAAATCCCTCCTCCGTTGGGACAAAAAGGCCATTCATGTTTTTTTTCTCTTCACAGAATTATTCATTCACTTCATACACAGTGGTGATAAACTACTGCTGTAGCCACAGCTGCCCTGAGGCACACTGACAGAAGTGAGGGTGCCAATATGTGCCATTGGCCCCTCCGACCACCTCGAACAATACAGACCAGACTCATTCTAATAGTGTCTTGCCTAAGGACACAGCCACAGTTTGCCATTTTACAGCCTTATCCACCCACTGGGGCGCCTGGTGTTTCCAGAGGTCCCCATTGCAGTCCTAACCAGGCCCTGCCCTGCGTAGCTTCAGAGGTTTGACAGGATCTGGCTTTAATCTGCAGGTGTCGCCACTTAGAATAGAATGGTGCAACACAAAAACTGGAATTTAGTTTAATTGTATTACAGTTTTTTATGACATTTAATATGTAAATACATGAATTAAAAATAGATTAAATAAGCCTTTGAATAATATAATTTTAAAAAAAGATTTATGGAAAAGCCATGTTCCATAAGCCATGTTAATCTATATTCAATGTGTAAGAAAAATGAAAACGTGAATATTATAATAATAATTGAGAACATATATATTTTTATATATATATTTTTATGACTTTTTAAGTGTGTTTTAAATTTCACAAAACATGATTCAAGTCTGATTATGAAACAGGAAGTCACACGAAGCAGTTTCCCTTTTTTAGCTGCAGAAAAATCAGCTTATCTAATGTATATACATGTGAACAATACAGCAATCATCAAACTCTCTTTTTATTTCCACCCCCTCGACCAGGGGTGTCCAAACTGAGGCCTGTGGACCAAATGTGGGTCACTATATCCTGTTCTGTAGCCCTCTGCCGCTAACACAAAGGAGCTATTAAGACACTTCATCTATATTTGCTTTTTAAATTTGTCTCCAAATTCTACTAGAACCCCAATTCAGCCGTGGTGTGAATAAAAGGACTTAACAGCAAATCCCATTTTTTCAAAGCCCACAGCCTGAGTCCAGTTAGAACAGTTTTACTATAAATGTTGAACTAAAGAGGCCCTTTTTCAAAAAAAAAAAAAAAAAAAAGGTGTTGCTGATCATAGCAGGACACTGAGGTCTATGGGGAAATCTCCTTACAGCCCATGTGGATTTAGGCTGCAGTACCTTGGGGGGCCTCTGGTCCATGTGGAGACAGGTTTAAGGAGTAACACCTTATCCAGATACTACCATACACACATGCAACTAACACATTATGTTTAACTCTGTTTCGTCAACAGGTGATTCCTCGCTTGCCTCCCACAACAGGAGTGCTCTGAAAAGACAGGGCCGTGTTGAGACCCGCACCCCAGAACCAGTGCAGGATCCCTGGGTTCGCCTCACAGATAGTCCCCTTAAACAAGATCCACTTCTGGAGCTTCCTGCACGAACGGCTCAGATTACCTACAAGCCACCTCTGAACATGGGCGACCACGAAACCAGCCTGGACGTTAACGGCAATGCTAACTTAAACAAAGAAAATAAAGTTGAATTGAGTAGTCCCGGGTCTAAACAGGGGCCTCCAGTCGCACCGAAGCCAACCTGGTATCGGCAAAGTCTGAGGAAAATCCGACAAGAGCAAGATCAGAAGAGAACGTCAAATTCTTGCAGTGATCGGCCATCTTTACTCGGCTACAGCAGGAGTTTTGGTGCGAATGCGCAATCCTCCAACACTAACTTGTCTATAAGGCAGAAAATCCACTCTTTTGAAACGTTTTCTAGTCCAGGAAGTCCTGAAAAAGCGATAGTCGGAAAGAGACAAGTTTCTGGTTCACAGTCGCTCCCACTGATTGAAAAGGAAGCAAAAGTCCAGCCCCCGTACAGCGTTCGGAGAGGCAATACCAAAGACGTCAACGCAAATGAACCGGTCGTAAGTTTCTCAAAAGAAATTTTCAATTCGCCAAGCAATACGAGTTCTGCTGCTGCTGATTTGTTGGTGGAAGTCGCAGAAATTGAACCAGTTTTACAAACTGCAACATCCAACCCAAAGACAGAGGAAGAGTCTTCAGTGCAAGAGATAGAGGCGCCAGGAATAGCTTTCAAAGAAGACATTCTAGATGAAAGGACCTCTGCTCTTGAGGAAAAATCACTGGAATCTATTGTCATAGCTGAAAACCAAATTGTAAATGTCCTAAAGGCGACGGCTGCAGACAGCGGAGACTCTAAGGGCTGTGGCGCGGACAGTCTGGGGAAGATCCTGGCCTTCAGTAACCAGGTACATACACCTCCTTCCTCACACACTGGGTGTCACAATCAATCACTACGTTTATTTCAAGACCCAAAAACAGCATAACTGACTGCTTTGAAAAGGGTTTGCCTGAACAAACGCTTATGTATTTGCAAACCCCCCTCATTCATTGAACACAGACACAAGATGAATTGTGGAAAACATCAAAAAGAATGCAAAAGTGTCAATTCGCCAACACAGATCAGAGAATCAAACAGTTTCAACACAGGAAATGCAATTTAAAACAAAGACGTAGAAGCCATTGGGGAGCAGGGATGACCACTGTCATGAACAATGTGCAGAAATATCGCAGATCATCACTGGTCCGGGTCTCAGGCTGTAGAACGAGGATCAAGGCCAAACGGTTCAGGACTGAGGCAGCTCCCAGGCGGTGAGGGGGGCCAGTCCACAGACGATGAAAAAGGCATAATAATGAATGATGGAGTAGGAAGAGGAGATATCATATGGTCTAATACAAGACAACACACACAAACACATTCAGACCAGACACAAGCCCAAACACACTCCGACCCTACACCCCACCCCAACTGCTCACATGTGGTTTTGAATCTTGGACCAGGGTTCTCTCTGACTGAGGAGGACTACACAATGTTTGTTTCACAATTTTCTTCCTCATGGTTTGGTCTTCCTCCCTCTTCGTACAGGTCTCTCTTGCACTGATGCAGTCTCACGGTCACAATCCTCTGAACCCTCAATCTGAACCCAGGGAAAAAACAGAACCCGAGCCCAGCTTCTCTCTCAGGTCTGTGATAATGGGAATGAAAGATATCTGCATAGCTACATTACTGTATATTCAGTCCAATACGACCCTCTGATTATAGACATGATATATTATTGGTGTGTATTCTGTAATAATACATTATTATTATCCTCCAGGAAGGTTTTGTAGAGGCCTAAAGACTGTATTTTTGCATATAGATAATGTTCATTTAAATTCAATGAAATGTTTTTTTGTATAGCCCTAAATAACAACAGCAGTTATCTCTGAGGACTTTACGAAGTTGAGAATCAAAGGGGAGGAGGACCAATGTTCAGAAATGTCACCACTGTCCTTAGACCAAAAGTTTGGACACACCTTCTCATACAAAGAGTTTTTTATTTTCATGATTATGAAAATGGTAGATTCACACTGACGGCATCAAAACAATGAATTGTTGTGGAATTATGTACGTACTAAAAAAAAAGTATGAAACAACTGAAAACACGTCTTATATTCTCGGTTCTTCAAAGTAGCACCTTTTGCTCTGATTACTGCTTCACACACTCTTGGCATTCTCTTGATGAGCTTCAAGAGGTAGTGACCTGAAATGGTCTTCCAACAGTCTTGAAGGAGTTCCCAGAGATGCTTAGCACTGGTTGGCCCCTTCACCTTCACGCTGTGGTCCAGCTCACCCCAAAACCATCTGGATTGGGTTCAGGTCCAGTGACTGTGGAGGTCAGGTCATCTGGCCCAGCACCCACCACTCTCCTTATTGGTCAAACAGCCCTTACACAGCCTGGGTGTGGATCTACAGTCAATAGGCATGAAAAGAAAGGAAGCTCATTGAATGAGAAAGTGTTTCCAAACTTTTGGTCTGTACTGTAGTTTGTCCCAACGGAGGAGGGATTTTACATTTGGACCCTTTTTAAACAAAAGAGTCGTTAGAAAAGGCCATTCATGTTCGGTATTGGCATCATTCCAACCCACTGTTCAGTGTTCAGAGGTTAAAAGAACTTAAGCTGCTGGACTTTATCAAGTTTAAAAATGCTTAAAAAAGCCCGTTTCCACCAGCCTTACTCGACTCCGTTTTACTCTACTCGACTAATGTTATTCTGTTTTTCTGTTAATAATTGTTGCTGTATCTTTTGTTTGATATACATACACAGCATTTAAAACCTTTCTGCTCACCAGTTTGGCCGCACTGAGAGACTGTTCCATGGATCAGGGAGATTCCTCAGAATCTCTCTCCCTCCCCCCTGCACTCCCACTCCTCCCATCACCAGACCTGCAGCAGCTCCTCCAGCAGGTGGCAGAGTTAGACCTGGAACAGCTCAAGGTCAGTCTGCTACACTTTAGTTTTTTCTACACTTCTTATTTGAAAACCTCACAGTTTTCCATGTTTGTGTGTATCTGCAGCACCTGGAGGATGTCCACGTCGTTGTTCTGCACAAGGAGGAAGGAGCAGGACTGGGCTTTACCATCGCTGGGGGCTGCGACCTGGAGAACAAGGCACCAACCGTAAGAGATGCATGTTAAGCAGAATGATTACTACTTACTAGATCAAGATTATTTCTCTGTTTTTGTGATCTCTTTGAGGTGTCAGTTTTTTCCTCGTCATGTGAATGAAGTTTGACAGGGCCGTGTGATTATACAGTATGAGGCCAATCTCTGTCAGTTAGAACACTTTAGCACCAGCTTGGCCTGGATAGAACAAGGGCCAAGAGAGACTAAAGAAGGACCCGGTTCTGGTTAAACAGGGTCAGTGCAACCACTCACAATCAAAGTAGAATATAGATGTGGCCATACGTGCCTGATAAAGCCAGATTCTGTCAGACCTCTGAAGCTGTCCTGGGCAAGACCTGGTTAATACTGTGATGGGAGACCTGTGAGAACACCAGGTGCCACAGTTGGTCTGTGACATCAGAGTCTGGTGTGTGCGTGAATGGCCAGTGGTGGTTGAAGAGGTCGTAGTTTCTCACTACCGTGTATGGAGTTAAAGAAAAATGACATGTGAAGCATCTATGTGTCCTGAAAAAAGCTACAGTATATAAGACCAATGCATTATTATTATTATTACTGGGTAGAGTAGGGCAGAGCACAGGAGAGGAGAGTATAGGAGGGTAGAGTAGGGTAGAGTGGTAGAGTAGAATACATGGCTGGTGAATATTGTGCTAAAGCTGTTATACTGTATCTGTCACCAGTCCTCGTCGTACTTCCTGACAGTAGCTGTGTGTCTGCAGGTGCACAAAGTCTTCCCTACTGGTCTGGCCGCTCAGGAGGGCACCATCCACAAAGGGGACCAGGTTTTATCCATAAACGGACAGAGTCTGAGCTCTGCCACTCACTCAGAGGCCACAGCTGCCCTGCGTTTGGCCCGGACCCAGGCGGTGGCAGTGGTGGTGGTCTGGAGGAGAGAGGGGGATGAGGAGGAGGAAGTGGAGAGCCCGGCTGACGGCAACACATGTGAGTCACTGCTCTGGCGAACTGTTTCAGTGAAGAGGGAGCAGCGTCTACAGTCAGAGCTCCACTTCGAAAGCACGAGATTGCGAATACAAACCGTACATGAGTTTCCTCTGAAAAGTGGAGCTCCCTTAGACATAGAGGAGCTCTGTCACACGGAAGGAGCTTGGAGTAGAACCCCTGCTCCTCCACGTGGAGAGGAACTAGTTGAGGTGGCTCGGGCATCTTTTTGGGAGATGTCTACGTCTAGGGATACACACACACACACACACACACACACACTGACACAGACACACACTAGCGAGTGATAGATCGAAGCATTTGGAAAACTGTTTTACTTTGGAATCGAGCTGTGGGTGAATCCAAATGAAATGTAGCACCATATATTTGATGCACTAATGTTATTATGTTATCGTGTGTGTGTGTGTGTGTGTGTGTGTGTGTGTGTGTGTGTGTGTGTGTGTGTGTGTGTGTGTCAGTGGAGGAGGGTCAGCTGCTTAGTGTGAGTCTGGACAAAGGCTCTGCAGGAGTGGGCTTCACATTAGAAGGAGGAAGAGGCTCCATCCACGGAGACAAACCGCTGCTCATCAGCCGCATATTCACAGGTGCAACCTTCAAATCAATTCAATGTATTTGTGTATCGCCCTGAATCACAACAGCGTTTTGGAGGACTTCATAAAGTTGTGGACACACCAACAACAAATCAGACAATATAACCGTTCAAACACAGGAAATGCAATCAAACCAAACACATAGGAGCCATTGGTCCACAGAGAGCAGGATGACCACTAAATGTTAATAAATGTCCCGACTCAGCACTGTCCTTAGACCCTCCTGCATCGGAAAGGAACCTCTCAGACACTCCCACGGACGGACAGGCTGTAGATCCAGGACTGAGGCTATAGATCAGCTGTGATTATTCGAATTATCAACTGAGACAAATGTACAGGTCAGACAGAACAGTGCCGCCTTGTGGAGGAAAATCAGAAACACAGGTTTGAATTCAAATTGCTTCATCCAATTTTTTAAATGTAGTCTCAGGTTACATTTACATAATTATTTTAAAATTAAATTCATTTTTATGTTTTTAGGGACCAACAAGGCAAGGCAAGTTTATTTGTATACCACAGTTCATGCACAATGCAACTCAAAGTGCTGAACAAAAGAAAAGAAAATGAAAAACAGCAAAACAGAGGAGGAGCCTATCTCAATCAATCAATCAAAGTTTATTTGTAGAGCGCCTTTCATACACAGGGCAACACAAAGCGCTTCACAGTCCACATCACGAATCATCACACAAAACAAACACCAGAATCACAATTAAAACATTAAAATCACACAAAAGATTAAAACCATTTAAACTTTCAAAATTACACGGAATTAAAAAAAAAAAAAAATACATAACAACAGTGCATTAGAAATGGAGATAAAGTCCTTCGGTTGTGTGCACAGGCAAACAGAACAGTCTTTAACCTGGATTTGAACATTGACAGAGTATACGCCTGTCTCACATTTTCAGGGAGATTGTTCCAGATCTTAGCTGCGTGGATCTGAAACGCTGTATAACGCTGTATTTTAGCTGTATAAATCTGAAATGCTTTTTTACTATCGTAACTTCTGCTATGCACTGCTATTTTCACGTGCACTGAACTAAAAGTATCAACTCTACTCTACTTTACTCTCCACTGATTGGGGGTTTTCCACTGGCCCTGTTTAACGGTCCTCCTTTAGTCCTTCCTCCTGTTGCAGCCGTCATATTGACTGCTCTTCCTCCTGTTGCAGCCGTCATATTGACTGCTCTTCCTCCTGTTGCAGCCGTCATATTGACTGCTCTTCCTCCTGTTGCAGCCGTCATATTGACTGCTCTTCTTCCTGTTGCAGCCGTCATATTGACTACTCTTCCTCTTGTTGCAGCCGTCATATTGACTGCTCTTCTTCCTGTTGCAGCCGTCATATTGACTACTCTTCCTCCTGTTGCAGCCGTCATATTGACTGCTCTTCCTCCTGTTGCAGCCGGAGCAGCTCAGTGCAGCGGTCTTCTCTCTGGAGATGAGATCGTGAGTGTCCAGTCTGCAGGTCTCTCTCTGCAGCTCGGACACATGACGCGATTCGAGGCCTGGAACCACATCAAAGCCTTACCTGAGGGCATCGCCACGGTGACGGTCCGGAGGCGTGTCCAATGACATTATCACTCAGGACCAATCAGAAAGTGTGACATGTATACAGTATACACAGTTCTATCAGTGCAGTTTCTTACATTCCCCAAAAGACTTGAAAAACATTATTTATGCAGAGTCCATAAGTTAAAATAGCAGTAAAATAACAAAAATTAAACAGATATATATGCAGTATTTATAAACGTATGCATCTACAACATTGTCATGATACTGTGGCCTTAAAAAGCATCCTCCACAGTCTGCTCTTAAAGTCGCAGACGCCTTGGGGCTGCCAGGCAGAGACATGGCTGTTCATATGAGCCTTTTGTATTGTTTTACTCAATGAATGTGTTTGCGTGTTAAGCTCTGTTTCCACCAGCTCTACTCTACTCTACTCTATCCTTCTCTTTTCCACTCTACTATGCTCTCGGTAGATAGATAGATAGATAGATACTTCATAGATCCCTGTAGGAGAAATTCCGGCGTCCAGTAGCAGCAAAAATAAAAAATATATTGATCATTCTAAAACACTAACAATAGTAATAATAATAATAATAAGCAACACTAGTCTACTCTTCTCTACTTCCCTTGGCCCTGTTACACCAGTACGAGGTCCTTCTTTAGTCCCTCTTAGCCCTGGTTCTATCCAGGCCGAGCTAGTACTAAAGTGTTCTAACTGACAGTGATTGGCCAGAGTGCTGCTGGAAGCCGTGGTTACCATGGAAATTCCCAGGATACTAGTTTGTTGAGTAGAGTAGAGCTGAGTCGAGTGAAGTAGAGCTGGTGGAGACAGAGCTTTTGTGCTCACACAGATAGCTACTCACCATAACAGTGTTAATAGTTCAGGTTTGTCTTGGTGCAGTTGTATTCATGTAAAAGAGTTTAACTGAAGAATGTGTCTAAAAAAGAAAGTATTTATGTTTATTTCAAAGATTTATTAAACTGGTACAAACTTCATGTGTGTCTTTTTTCACTTGTATTTACTAAAAAAGGGAATTCTACATGTTTTTATTTTGAATGAAAGTATATATTTCTTTATTTGACCTTTTGTCAGTGTGGGTAGTTGTCAGCATTGTGCCTTTACTTAGTAGCGCCACCTGCAGGTGAAAGCCAGACCTTGTCAGACCTCAAGATTATTGTTAGAATATCCATCTATAATCTAACCATTGTGCCGCCTTAAAACGTCCTCGAAGTCACTACAGACAATTTTATCTTCTTCCACATCTCAACTCTGTATTTTCTTGTTTTCTCATGTGATCCACAAATGAATCAGGATCATTAGATTACAGTAACGAGCTGCTGTAGGTCACTTATTACTCCAAGAATAAGGCTCTTCCACCCAGTAACAGGCTGAGTTTAAAGCTGAGGTACCTGGTTTTACTACAGAGAAAACTCAGAGCTATACTGGTGCAACTCTGATAATTAGAATATAGGTCAAACGTCTAATGGATTATACATCTCATTGATCCAGACCCAAATCTACAGCCTCAGTCCTCGATCTATAGCCTCGGCCCTGGATCGACACCATCAGTCCTGGATCTACATACAGTATATAAACTTCTTTAAGCAGCCCCAAGCTACAATCAGTTTGAGACCCCTACTTTAACCCAATGCAATTAAATCCCTACATCCATTTCTATTCTAAAAGTAATAATTGGTCCAAATGGTGATCCAGGTTGTATTTATTGAAACATGCTGCTCACACACACACATGCCTCACATTGAACAGCAAAAAGAACAGGACTCTACAGTACAAGTATCGGATTGATTGGTTCATTAGGAGGTATTCATACAATATAAAGTAAAATATAATCTGAGGGGATAGGTTTATTGTGGAGGTGTGTTACATTGCTTTTCCCAAACTAACATCAAGGCATATATGGGATTATCTGTTTTAGCAGGATTTGGATAATTGCCCATAAGAATGAATAGGACTGGGAGGGGTTACAGGCCATATGCGGAGAGGACAGCGGAGCCTTTGTAAGTTTTCAGGTGTTTACCATAAAAACAAAAACATCTGTGAATATACAATGTTTTAGATCATACTGAGGAACATTCCGAGCAAAGAAATAGCATCTCGAAAATCAGTAATGGGCTCAAACTAAAGTAAATATGACGTTTTTTGCACAGCTGGAGACTCCCCCTTCCTCGCCTTGGAACCAGGCATGAGAACATGCAAACTCCACATATAAAAAGCCCGGGTTGACACAGGATTCGAACCCACGACCTTTCCGTTGTGAGGTCTGAGTGTAGCCGTGCTGTTGTGAAAGATTACACTTTAGTAGAAGGCCCTGAAATCATCGGTAAGTCTTGCAGAAGTTACAAAACCATTTTTTAAAATTAATTTAAATGTAAAAAAGTCCATTTTAATATATTTAAAGATTTGTCTTCAGCCCAATAAGTATAGTGTGTTCGTTTGTGACACTTTATGATTTATTTTTCCCAATTTTACATCATGTGTTGTAAAAGTGTAATGTCATATCCCCACAAGAAGGAAGTACGTTTAAAAATTTGATATTTTGTAAAATATTAAAATAAAATCAAAATTGTGACTATATCAGTATATCAGCGTTTTCAGACAATTTTGCAGAACATTTACTTCCAAAATGTTAGAGCAAACCAATATGTTTAACTGGAATAAAAGCAGTATTTTTCATATGTTTATAAATCATTATTGAACACATTTAGCAGCCTGAAGGATTTGATCACAAAACTCACACATAATACATGACCAGATATTAGCGTCAATCATGAAACCATTTTAGATTGAATTGTGAAGAAAACCGTTGTACAGAGTAGTGTTTTTAAAATTCATATGATTATGTTTGCAAATGTAAGTAATAACATTGAGTACTTCTGGCATTACTGGTCAGATAACACCATGTGTACATGTGAGGCCCAGTCCAGTCCTTTAACTGTGGTTGAGGTAGAAACAGATAAATTAACTTTAAATCTCAGTCTGGTCACAACAGCAGCTGAGGAAAGCACCAGTGTTTTCTGTTTTAATATATATCTATAAATCTATATATATTTACCGGAAAGAAAGACAAGGGTGAGAGACCAGGGAGAGACCAGAGGAAGAGACCAGAGGGAGACCAGAGGAAGAGACCAGAGGGAGAGACCAGAGAGAGAGACCAGAGCAAGACCAGAGGGAGAGACCAGGGAGAGACCAGAGGGAGACCAGAGCAAGACCAGAGGGAGAGACCAGGGAGAGACCAGAGGGAGACCAGAGGAAGAGACCAGGGAGAGACCAGAGGAAGAGACCAGAGGGAGACCAGAGGAAGAGACCAGGGAGAGACCAGAGGAAGAGACCAGAGGGAGACCAGAGGAAGACCAGAGGAAGAGACCAGGGAGAGACCAGAGGAAGAGACCAGAGGGAGACCAGAGGAAGAGACCAGGGAGAGACCAGAGGAAGAGACCAGAGGGAGACCAGAGGAAGACCAGAGGGAGAGACCAGGAAGAGACCAGAGGAAGAGACCAGGGAGAGACCAGAGGAAGAGACCAGAGGGAGACCAGAGGGAGACCAGAAGGAGAGACCAGGGAGAGGCCAGAAAGAGAGACTAGAGAGCGACACCAGCAAGAGACCATAGACAGAGATATACGAGAGAAACCAGAGAGACCAATGTGAATACTCGGCGTGCCACAGCGCCGCAAATGGCGAAGTGGCACGCTCTCTGCCAAAACAATTTCTAAGTGGTAACTTTTGTTTGTTACTTATGTGGCAATAAAAATGATTCTGATTCTGAGTAGTGCTGTGGTGATTGGAGCACTAGGGGCAGTGGGTTACAGCTGGTCCCTGGAACAAACTCAAAAATCTGCAAAATGTGCAGAGCTCGGAACAGCAAAAACATTGCACTGAACCCTCAAGCTCCCGAACCTCAGACTCCTCAGAGAAGGGTCATGTTTGGAAGAGCAGGCTCCAGGCGCACCTTTTATATTCACTTTTAATTATTCACCATAAAAAATAAATATGAGGGTTAAAAAGGAACTGTTTTGTAATTAGCATTTTATAATACGTCTTATATTTGATTGATTCCAAACGTGGTGTTCTGGTTTCACAAACATAGACCGGTACCAAAGCCCAACCCAATGTCTTAAAGGTCTATAGGAGGATTTTCCCAAATTTTAGGAAAGAACCGCCCTTTCCACTTTTTGAACAAAACTCTCTGGTCTTATTTGACGAGCACGTATCACCAGAATGATTGACAATTGGGAGGACAAATAATCTTTATGATCCACCTGGAAGTAGAAAATCCTCCTATAGACCTTTAATGATTGATTTCTTAATGATTAAATGAAGTGTATAACATTAAAAACATGCTTTTTTTTCAGTCAGACTCAAAGAGGCAGTGAACGCACCGTACGTAATCAACATACATTTAAGTGTAAATCATGGACTGCATCCAAATTCAACAAAAAGGGACTAGAGAGACCAGAGAGAAACCAAAAAGAGACCAAAGAGTGACTAGAAAGAGACCAGAGAGATAACAGAGAGCGTGAGACCAGAGAGAGACCAATGAGAGGCCAAAAAAAAAACACCTTCTTTAACCTTCCTTCTCGCATCCATGAACTAAGTGGCCTTCAAAGTCACAAAAGTGTGGTAACTTTCACTTATTCTTTCACAAGATTTTCAAGGAGACGTATTAATTATTTCCTCATAAAATAAACCTGAGAGTTTTTTATCCACGCAACAACAAGGAACAAACATATAGCCCCGCCCCTTCTGTTTAAAAGCTCCAGTCTCAGTCCTGTAACAAGGAGAGACCAGAGTGAGACCAGAGTTCGTGGAGAGCGACTCAGAGCAGTTTTATATCTTTGAACCAAGAGAATTGCCCAAAACGTCATGGTCATCTTGAATGGACAAACACCGTATGTAATAGATCTTCTTTAATGCACGAGAAATGAGAAAGAAGGAGGTATTTTTTCTGAATTTGGATGCAGCCATGATTTCTGAGTCCGGCTCCAGCTCAGGAGATGAGGGCCATGCCACATGCAGGTCACACACAAAGAGGATTTGAGCGGAAGAGAGAAATCAAATATGATCATCGTCATGTGTCAGGATCCAAAGTACGACAACATTTCTCACTTCCGGGTTTTAAATCTGCAGAAACTTAAAGCTGGGGTATGTAACTTTTTACATAAATAACACATGTCTTTTGTCCCAACAGAAAGAGCCTTAAAAAGTAGAAAAGTTGTGAACAAATCAGACCAGAACACCGGATGCATTCATCCGAAAATGCATCATTAGGGAAACCAGAGAGAGACCAGAGAGAGAGAGCAGAGAGAGCAGAGAGAGACCAGAAAGAGAGAGACCAGAGTAAGACAAAAGGAGACCAGAGAGAGAGAAAGACCAGAGAAAGTGTTACAGAGGCCAAACATACATGACTGTGAAAACTAGTAAAAGAAGCAAGAGCGAGAAGTTAGTTACATAAAAGTTAGGTACCCCAGCTTTAACGAGTCGTTGTTTGCTTTTGTGTTTTGCTTTTCGGATAGAGACATGATGTAGACGTGTTTGAGGTTATAAAAGCCTTTTGTCTACAACTATATTTAGCCTGGACCAAGAAGGGCAGTGATCTACAGCAATAGTTATCACTAGAACTCCCAGAGCAGTCAATTTGACGGCTTTTAGTTTTGGAAGCATAATGCGTAAGCATCTGTACATTTGTGAGTATTTAGCCATTTTCGGTCGCTTGGAAACTACAATTCTATGTTATGGTCTATAGCCCCTTTTCTCCAAGCTCCTGCTCCTAGGCTGGTTCTGGGCTAGTTCTAGGCTGGTCCTGGTTCTGAGTTCTTCCTAGCTTTCCACCAGGGCAGAGCCAGCGCTAGTTACCATAGCAACACATGTACATCCAGCAGTTAGCATTTGGCCTTTAAACAAACAGTTTTTGCTGTATTTCAATTATAATTACCAGTTAGAGTATTTAGTGAATGTGACTTTTCGTAATTCCATGGGCTAGGATGGGAGCAGTCGGAGCAGTTTCAGGATTCTATATTTATATATTTTTATTTATTTGGTATGGACATAACAATAGCATTGGACAAACCAGATACATTGTTTTTAGTGTTATAGCAAGACTGCTAATTTGCAACATCTTCTGGGAGTCCTAGTGTTAACAACCCCACTGTACACATTTGGGTTTGGGCAGGAAACATAAAAGTGTAAAACTTGGTACAAACATGATGTAAGTTCACAGTTTGACACGTGGAGTTGTCCTGTGGAGAACTGGACAGTCACTAATGTCCCTCCCAGCTCAGAGGGTCCATAGTCCCCTGTGAGGTCCCAGCAGTCCACCTGCTGGGTCAGATCACGGTGCGTTCCCATGGATACGGGTCAGTTTGCTCAGTCCCCGGGTTCTGGAGGCCACGGTCTCCTGTCAGAAGTCCTTGAGCGACTTCACTGCTTTGGTCAGGTTGCAGTAGAACTCGGCCATGCTGGAGGGGAAGAAGGACTCGACCACGGAGCGAGGCAGCAGGCCCCCAAGGTCAGTCTGGAACACGGTGAACACCTGCGTCTTGTTCGGCTCCCTGCAAAAAACACAGAAAGCATGTAAGATACGATAATGATAATAATAATAATAATGCATCAGCTTTTGTGGACACTCAAAAGTCTCTTCACAGTATTACTTATTCACTCCATACACGTGGTGATAAACTAATACAGCAGCCACAGCTGCCCTGGGGCTAACTGACAGAAGCGAGGAAATCAGTCTGTGCTATCCGCCTCTTCAACCACCACTAACCCTTCACACACACATCAGTCTCATTCTAATGTGAGTGAAGTGTCTTGCCTAAGGACACAACCACAGTTTGGTACTTTACAGCCACAACCGCCCCCCCTAGGGCCACTCGTGTTCCCGGTACTAACCAAGCCCTGCCCTCCTTAGTTTTAGAGGTCTGAAAAGATCAATACAATACTAGCCCTAAATACTGATGCAATGCACCTGCTGGGGTTCAGCCATGAAGTGTGTAGTAGTGGACTGAGTATGACATCACCATAGTGTTAGCTAGCTGGAGTCAATTGCCTTATATGGGCATTTGTTCTGCGTCTGGAGTTTACCCCTCGTATCTGGATTAACAAAGACAATATAACAATATAAACCCCAGGATCACAAAGAGCTAAAACTTCATCATGAGCACTTCCCTATTAGACTTCATTGAGCTAGCGAGTTAGCCTCGAGCTAGCAGCTTATCAATGTCCATCTACTACTGTATATACAGTCTGTAGGTTCAACAGTACAAACAAACAGTATTACATATGACTACTTATTTGTGTATAAGCATTAATTAAAACAAATGTCTGCTGCTATTTATTTTATTTGTGAAAAAATTTATAAATTAAAATCAGAAAATGACTTGCCAATAATAATAATAATAGCCAAAAACCTATTGATCTCAAATAATGTTTTACATATTTTTTAATAAAACTGATTCTCCCATAACTCTGGACCCTCTTGTGTGGCTGACTCCATTATTCCTTAAATTCCTTAAACTCCTTAAACTCCTTAAATCCTTAAACTCAGCAGTGACTGTAAATCACAAATATGTCGACAGAATGTTGATAAATCTAGTTAATTGTTGTGTTTTTGTAGTGTATTGTTGTGTTTTTGTAGTGTTGTATTATTGTACTGTGTACAGCACATTGGGGCAGTGATGGCTGTTTTGTAAATGTGCTTTATAAATAAATTTGACCTTTGACCTTTGACCTTTAATTACTTGGACATTTCTCCTTTTACTATATTAACTTTAATGCCTCAGCATGATAGGCCAAACCATCCCATCAGAAGAGTGATTATACTCTAGTCTGAGAGAGTATGTGGCTGTGGTGAAGCTCTCTAAAGTACAGTAAATAACAGTATTGCTGCAGAAGAAGGGCCTCACCCTGGCACCGGCACACACACGCAGCCGCAGGGGTGGTTGAAGCCCCTGACGAAGCCCGGCTGAGGGGGGCAGGACGAGTGCAGTACGTTGGTGGCTGTGAACGGAAACAGCAGAAAATATTATTAATTCATGATCAGTGAAAATGACATTTAAGGCTGGAGTGTGGTGGAGAGGGATAGCTGCTAAGACTGTAGCACGAACACAGGGATTAGACATTCGGATTGGACACATGCAATTAAATGATAAGTAAGTAAATCCATCAATTTTCTTCGCCTTTATCCGTTGCCGAGCAGCTGACCTCTCTCTCCACACACCTGAATCCTGAGGCGTTCCCAGGCCAGCTGAGAGACACTCTTCCCTGTGGAGGAGAGCACCTCCCCAGGGAGCTTTGCAAACAGATTCAGATTCAGATTCAGATTCAGATTCAGATTCAGATTCATTTATTTCGCCATTTGCAGTATGTATACACCACATTGGAATACATTTTGTAAAAGTTCCCCGTGTGCACAGGACAAGTACAGACACAAAACAACATTAAAAGACAAAAATAAAACAAATTTTAAAAACAGTAAACAAATGTCACAACAAATGTCACCGTGAAGTTGACCAACTTAAAACAGATCTATACGAGTGCAAAACATTAAAGTGCTCTATTCAAACTGTTAACAGCTCGTGGAAAAAAACTGTTAGCATGACGAGATGTCCTGCATCTCAGGGAACAGTATCTTCTGCCAGAGGGAAGAAGCTGGAACAAGGCTTTTCCTGGGTGGCCAGAAGAGTCTCTGATAATTCTCAGGGCACTGTTAAAAAGTCTGGATTGATAAAGAACCTCCAGAACAGGAAGCTCGCAGCCCACGGTCCTCTCTGCAGAGCGGAGCACCTTGTTTAGAGCTCTCTTTTCTTTATCTGTGATGTTACCGAACCACACAGACACAGAACCAACAAGTAAACTCTCAATGGTGCAGCGATAAAAGTTCAGCAGAATCTTAGAGTTAGTGGTAAATTCTCTAAGTTTCCGCAGGAAGTAGAGACGCTGACGAGCTTTCTTTACGACTCGGTCAGTGTTTTTAACCCATTTCAGGTCATCAGACAGAGTTAGACCCAGAAACTTACACTCCTCTACAATCTGCACTTGGGAGTTATCGATTGCGACAGGCAAATGAGAACTATTGCAACTGAAATCAAAGACCAGTTCACATGTTTTGGATGCGTTCAGCTGGAGGTTGTTAGCCTTACTCCACTGAACCACGTTTTGGATCTCGGCTCTATAAGAGGATTCATCGTTATTACTGATGAGACCGATGATGGTGGTGTCATCAGCATATTTGATGATCAGGTTAGAGTCTGAGGAAGACACACAATCATGAGTGTACAGTGTAAAAAGTAAAGGACTCAAAATACATCCCTGAGGAGATCCAGTGCTCACAGAAACAACATCTGAAAAACAGTCATTGATTTTCACTCTCTGAGATCTGTCAGTTAAAAAGCTATAGATCCATTTACACATGGCACCACTTAAACCCAGAGACATGAGCTTTTCAATCAGTTTACCTGGGACAAGACAATTAAAAGCAGAGCTATAATCAATGAACAGCATTCTTGCAACAGATTTCCTATTGTCCAAGTGACTGTAGACAGAGTTCAGAGCAAAGGAGATGGCATCCTCCACACTCCTGTTCTGTCTGGAGCGGGTCAACACTCACAGGGATCTGGCTCTTAATGAAGTCCAGCACAAGCCGCTCGAAAGTCTTCATTAGGACAGAAGTGAGGGCCACAGGGCGATAGTCATTAAGGCATGTCACAGGAGTTTTCTTAGGAACTGGGATAATGGTCGACTCTTTAAAGCAGTTCGGCACAGTACAGTTCCTTAGCGACAGGTTAAAAATGTCTGTTAGCACTGGGGCAAGTTGCTCAGAGCACAGTTTCAGGACACGAGGAGGGATGCCGTCCGGGCCAGGGGCTTTCCGGACAATGGTGCTGGACAAGACCCGCTGGACTGCCTCCTGAGTCACGGTGAACGCACAAACCACCTCATCTGGCTCCTCTCCAAGTGGAGGAGCAACAGCTCTACTCCGAGCCCCTCTCGTGTGACTAGATTATAGATTATTTGAGGCAGTGGATGTGGTGTTTGTGCTGCTCTGCTCAAACAAATTCTAAAGAGGTGGTGATGGGGGCACTTCAAAAACCGGGTTATGCTTTCGAGGCATGGCTTCTCCAACTCCAACTCCAACAACTTCATATACAACATCATATAACTGCTTCTAAAACATGACAGTTAATAAAGTCACAAGGAAACTTTTGTGGTTTAAAGGACTCTCTCTCTCTTGTCTCTCTCTCTGGTCTCTTTCTCTGCTCTCTCTCTGGTCTCTCTCTGGTCTCACTCTGGTCTCTCTCTGGTCTTTCTCTGGCTTCTCTCTCACTCTGGTCTTTCGCAGGTCACTCTCTGGTCTCTCTCTCTGGTCTTTCTCTGGTCTCTCTCTGGTCTCTCTCTGGTCTCTCTCTGGTCTTTCTCTGGTCTCTCTCTGGCCTCTCGCTCACTCTGGTCTTTCCCTGGTCTCTCTCGGTCTCTCTCTGATCTTTCTCTCACTCTGGTCTTTCTCTGGTCTCTCTCTGGCCTCTCTCGGCCTCTCTCTGGTGTCACTCTCTCTGATCTTTCTCTCTATCATTAATAATTAGCAAACAAACACAAAACCACTTGTGACACGTCAGTAGAAAGCCACTTGCTGTCAGCTCCAAATCTGCTGCGAATGAACACAGGATATTTATTTGCGTAGCTTTGATCCACATGAGTTCAGCTGGACATTAAGCACAGCAGGACGGAGCAGAGTTCAGTGGGACAAGAGTAAAGACGGACCTCGTGACCCCAACAGGCCATAATAAAATAACCATTACCTTCAACAGGCGTGAGTAAACACACAGGAAGTTAATCATTAGTGTTTAGAACGACCTTTATCTGCAAAGTTTTACACTAACGGAAAATCAAAGCTCTTATTGGAGGCCCCAATAAGAGAAGTCTCTCCATGGCCTCGCACCAAAGTACAACTGTGACAAGTTAGTGCCATATGAACCAACTGGGACCCCGAGGAGCACAGGGACTGGCCTCCTACTAGTACTTTAAGGAGCACAGGGACTGGCCTCCTGCTGGTCCCAGAGTCAAGACTAAACATCTGAGACATGAGAAATGTGAGACAGGATTCTACTCTGACAATTATTTAAATCCAGGTTAGCTTATTGACGGCCTGCGGTTTTAGAGGATTTTACAGATTTTAAAGACCCACAAAATATTGTGTACTATGACTATGTGAAATCTGAAACTGGATTCTGAAAGACTGGACTGACGGCTTTCATTGTAAAAATAAGTTTGTTCCTAGCTTCTTTTGTTTTCCTGTAATCCCAGGCAAGTCCATCTACAACCGCGGACTGCCCTGCTCGACCCGCCCGGGAGCACTTCAATTCTGGGCCACGTTCTGTAGCTTGTGACCAATTCATATGTATATATTTTGTGTCTTAACTGTTGATTCTCTGATCTGTGTTGGTGATTTCAATGGTTTTGTTAAGTCCTCTGAGATAACTTCTGTTGTGATTTAGGGCTATACCAGAATAATTTGTTGTTGTTGTTGTAAAGCGAAGTTTTCAATGAAATCACCAGACAAAAAGACGTCAGTGGCAGGCAAGGAGTTAAAAACAGTTCTGTTTCAAACTGATATCTGTTTGGGACAGATATCAGTTTTATTGATGTCAATCCAAAAGCACACCTCAGCTTCTTCTACTGTCATTCTACAGTTTTCATGAACTGTAGAATGACAGAATCCTTGAGCTGCGTCTCACATGATCCTGGGGCAGTTCTGTCGCTGTTGGATTTAAATGTGATGTAACATGTGAGAGACACGAAACAGTGGATCTGGTCCAAAGCCTCAAGCCCTGTCTCTGCTGCACTGTGGTCAGAAAGCTCACCATCTCTGCCTTTTACACCAGAGACTGTAATAAAGGCAGAGCGACCTGCTATTACAGTGACGTGCTCATGGGTGAAGCCTGAAACCTCACTTTCGCTCCGTTCATTCTCACTGAAGTTAATGTCTCTGAGCCAGTCCATTTGTACTCTCCTTAAAATCATATTTGAGAGAATTTGGCTCCAGGTTTACACCCAGAGTGGCTCTAATGGCGAGGCAAGGTTATTTGTAGAGCACAGTTTATACAAAGGGCAACTCAAAGTTAGAATCATAAATAATCACAGAGCAATAAAAAGGGCGAAGGTTCCTTAAGGTGGTACGCACAGCTGACCTAGATTTGAACACTGTCAGAGTAGAAGCCTGTCTTACATTTTCAGGAAGACTGCTTCCCCATGTTTAGTCCTGACTCTGAGCACCAGCAGGAAGACAGCTCCTCAGAGTTCCAGCGAGATGCCGGTCCCTGTGCTATTCAAAGTCCCAGCAGGAGGCCAGGGAGGGTATGGACACAGCTGTTGCACTCCAGAGCTGATGACTTAGCACACATTCCTGCTTCAGTGTGTTTATGTGAACGGCAAAGAGATGTTGATGCAAAGTTGATTAGCGCCGTTTTCAGAGCTGACCTTAAAGCCCCAGAAGGTCTTTTTAATTCACTGTGATTATCTATTTAATGCACCTTGAGTTTCCTTGAGTATGAACTGCGCTACACAGATAAACTTGCCTTGCCACACTTGTTACAGCCCTGGATAAAACACATCCGAGACACACATTGGGATGATGGGTGAGCGGTTACCCACCATTGGATGAGATGGTGCCGTCTTCGTACTTTTTAACAACGATAACATCAACAAAGTCTCGGGGAGAGATGATGCCCATAGCGGCGGACGGCGTGACGGTGCGACACACGGACACGTCCTGAGAGAGACACACAAACACACACACTGTTACAGTGGAGCCAAGTGGAGAAGGACAGAATGTAAACCCAGGATTGAGCCTGTAGACCCAGGACTGAGGTTGTAAATCCAGGACTCAGGCTGTAGATCCAGGACTCAGGCTGTAGATCCAGGACTGAGGCTGTAGACCCATAGCCTTACTCTCGCCAGACCCATGTAGTTCGCTGCACTTCACACATGAGTCTGGTACTGAGCCATAGTGGTTGGATTTCAGAAGGCAGGGCCTTGTAAAAAAAATTCTTGTATGTGATTGGATAGACCACTTGTCCGTTATCTTGAATGAAGTCTGCTTTCAACCACTCACATCGAAGCACACGGCTCCCACAGGTTGCCAAATCCCAGCAAGATTTTCCAACCCAAAATCCGCGAGAATACCCAAAAAAAAAAAAAAACACTCAGAATGATTTTTGGCTAAAAACGTAATGTAATCAACTTGGGCTATCATGATTCTGTTTATTGTCTTTCTGTTTATTTAATACCTACAAGTCTCTTGGAAAAAAATATGCGGGAACCACCAAACCTGGCAACCCTGCTGCATAGTGTGTAAACAGGAACACTGAACCGGTGCTTCAACCAAACGTTACAGGAACATTTGATTCTTAAAACACACATATATCAACATAGAACCATCAACATCTCGCCTCAAACTGCATTAAAAGTGACATCCGTGTCTTAATTCGATCGTATTTACTCTTTTAAAAAGATTTGCGGACTTTACGTCCGCCAACTTGGATTCCTCTCGCTGCTGCATGAGAGAAGCTTGAGAAGGCGGTGCAAATCCCACGTAACACCGGCAATCCTGATTGGTCGATTAAAAAATTATCTGGGGAAGGCGTTCGCTATGGCGTCGATACCAGACCCATGTGGTTCAGCCAAACGCCTCTGGTGGAGCATGGCGGAACTACAAGGGTCTGGCAGAGCCAGGCTAGTAGATTCAGGACTGAGGCTGTAGATTCAGGGATCAGGCTCATATTAAATGTTAAAAGATTAATCAATAGAAGAATTAGCTTTAGTCTTATAAGCATAGCACAACTATTTTTCTTCAAGTTGTAATTTACAGCTGAGGTACATAACTTTTTTTTTGTGAATAGTACCATTTGTTTGTGATACAGAAAGAGCATTGTAAAAATAACATTGAATGAACAAATTAGACCACAACATGCTGTCATCTTACACAACATGTGCGTGTGCGTGTACCTCTGTGATCTGCTGCAGGAGCTCGAATTTCTTGACGTTAGAATCCCATTTGACCCGAAGTCCATTGGGGATCGGCTTCAGACACTCCCAGACTTTGAGGAGACCCCCGTTCACCAGCGCCTCCCCTTTGTATCTGCACAAGAGAAACACACATTATCACTCAATGTATCTGACTGGAGCAACACAACACACAACTGCTCAGTGCATATGGACCAATGCACTACCACTTGAATACCATTATTTGTTGAGACAAAATATTTGCATACACATTTCTTGCCTGATTGAATCTCACAAACATCCACATCATTATAGCCTACCCCTGACCATAACCCTGACCCTCATTATGGCCCTGACCCTAGGACTGCACAATTTGATGTGACTGTGATTATTTTCCAATATCCGTTATGTTTAAAAAGTCTGTGTTTGCAAAGAATGATTCGTTTTTAATAGAGCCATTCATTATTGCATTCCTTAAGCATCAAGCGGCTGTTGGTGCAGCAACCCTCCTCCTCCCTCACCTCTTCAGTGGAGAATCTTCATGTTATCCGCTCAGCTTCCTTCACCACCAGGGTTTAGACCTGGGGGACAGCAGCACAAGTCTCTAGACCTGAGGGACTCTAGCACCAGGGTCTAGACTTGGGGACAGCACCAGGGTCTAGACCTGGGGGACTCCAGCACCAGGGTTTAGACCCAAGAGACAAAACTAGGGTTTGTACCCGGTGGTTCACATGCTAAAAATCAGTATTTCTGCCAGGGTCTAATTACCAAACTTTAATGAACATTTCTCAAATGCAGTAAATGCTCCTGTGTCTGGGTCTAATGAATGATTTGCAGAAACAATGTTTTCAAACAAACTATACAATACAATCATTGTTTTTTAACATGAACGTCTTATTAACCAGTTGCTTTCATCTTCTCTCATCTTGTTAACGTGAGATCCGGAGAGAGTCGAGTTTCACGTCTCACAAAAGCCTTTCCCGTATTGGATTCATATCGGAGTTCTCTCGTATTTCACTGTTATTCGTCACTGGGTTTTTGAATCGTGCTCTGAACTGAACTCACACGTTTCCTGGATACTCCACAGACGGACGCCAAGACACAACCACGTCATTCTGGAAGAAAACAACAGTTAAAAATAACATTATTTATTTGGTCTAATCATCTACACAGTGGCATACCCTTGATAGTTCAAATCAATCCTAACCTTTTACAAAGTTGTGGATTCAACATCAACAGATCAGAGAATCAAACGGTTCTAACCAGAAAAAAATGCAGTAATAACAAACACATGAGAGCCATTGGTCCATAGGGACCGGGGTGAGCCCTGTCCTTAGAGACCAGACTGTCTATCCAGGACTGTAGAGGCTCCCCGGTAGGGAGTCCTGGATCTATAGCCTCAGTCCCGTTATTCCCGTTTGTTATTATTGCATTTCCTGTGTTCACACTGTTTGATTCTCTTTTAAAGGCCGCTGGGATGACTGCTGTGATATAGGGTGACACACAAATAATTGACACACAAATTTAAATTGAATTTAACTTTCAGTTTGTTTTAGTCTGTGTGAGGTCCAGCAATTCCTAAATGAGTTGACAACTATTTCAAGAATCCATTGGTTGTTATAATTATTTGACTATTCGATTAACTTCATACTTTCAATAGATATTCATACACTGCAGACACATGACTTTTAAAATGCTGGGTGGACCCGGGAAAATAGTGGGAATGCTTGGTGTGTTGTTTTGTCCCGTGTCGAACACAGGGGAAGACATGGATGTGTCAAAATAACTTGCAGAGCAATGCAACCAGGACCAGAGAGAGAGACCAGAGAGAGACCAGAGAGAGAGACCAGAGACGACCACCAAAAACGTATCCGCAGAAAGACCAGGTTACAGGACAGGTTGAATTATGAGTTGTTCTTCCCCAGTTTTTTTTCACTACTGTTGCTACTACTACTGCTGCTGCTACTATTACCACTACAACTATGCTGCCACATCTCAGGTCGTGGTGCTCTGTACTCCTGTCTTTAGTTTCCCATCGACCTCTTTCTCTGGGCTCAGTGGAGTTCAGCCTCTTCCCTTCAGAGATCTTCTTTTACATAACAACAGGAGCAGAGATCTCCTGATAGTGAGTGTCCCAGGCCGACAGCACTAACGTGGACTAACCAGGGCTGGTCTGTCGCCATAACGGTATATACCATGTGTTTTAGTGGCCTCTGATCTTCAAATTACTATGATTCACTTGATTATGATTCACAAAACATTTAACTTTAACATGTTTAAACCCATGTACGTATTTATATTTAGTAAAACAAATAATACAATCAAAACCTAACATTGGCATCAATTGAAAAGCTTATTTGCAAAAACAAATATCTCTGTTTCTTTCTCTGTTTTCTCTGTCTGATCTCTCCCTCTGGTCTCTCTCGCTGGTTTCTCTCTCTGGTCTCTCACTGGTCTCTCCCTGGTCTCCCTCTCGGGTCTCTCTCTCTGGTCTCTGTCTGGTATCTCTTGGGTCTCCCATCTCTGGTGTCTCTCCGGTCTCCCTCTCTGGACTTTCTCTGGTCTCTTTCTGGTCCCTCTCTGGTCTCTATCTACAATCTTCAACATGCTTGCTTGTCTGCAGTTAATTAAGAAAGAATTTGCTCAAGAAGAGGTGAAACTTAACCTGGATGGCACTAAAGTACAGTAGATCTGACTTTTCAAAAAAACGACTTGGTAAAGAGCAAGGCACTGATCCTATACATTATACATGACTATACCATACTGTTCCATACCATACCCTTTACCCCCAGTCTATACTAAAGCCAACGAGACATTCAATAAGAAAATAGACTTGTGTATATCCTTGAGTTGGGGGAACATAATCAAATTCTACTACACCACAACCATACCATACTATAAATGTACTATCACGTAATAATACTGTATATACCACTCTATAGGCTGCTGTCCTATACTGTTATGTTATTCCCACGCAGTGTTTCCCTTCAGCCCTCACACAGAATTAGCTCTTGATCTCTCTCGCTCCAGTCATTTTTGCGCGTCCATTTTAAACACAATACTGATGCACACGTCCATAACCGCGGATACTCACGGATTTCTTGCAGACTTTCCAGCCGGAGGGGTCCTTCGTGTAGCCCAACAGGCGCTCTGCAGCAAACTTGGCTCTGTCTTCGTGTTCCATGCTTTCAAAAATGCGGTGCGCGAACCCGGATTGAGCTCAGAAGAGCCGGAGGCTGGAGGTGATGATGAGGAGGAGGATGATGATGATGGAGCAGGCCAATGTCAGACGTGCGACTATAGATGGTTGAGCCTCTATAGAGACATGTCCGCGTCTGCAGGGGGTCCTCAGGTGCGACGTGTCAGCACAAAGACATATAAGTGAACATTAAGAAGCAGAACGCATCAACGTAATAACAGCCGCAGCACGCACGGGAATCTATGACGTCAGTGCTGCTTCTGATCCTCAAACCGAACACTATTCAAGCCGTGGCACAGTCATCCATTGTTGTATTAAAAGCATGGAAAACACAAAAACCTATACAAGAGTTCGTATGGTTGAAACCAGAGCGAGTGAAAGAGACCGGTGGGCGGGATAGTGGGCGAGACGCTCTCTTCTGATTGGTCGGAACTCACGTAAGGTCAAGATCACAACCAATCCGAGAACAGGAACGCGGTTACTTCACGGTTGCCTGACGGAAAATGGACAAATAAGGAAAGAGAGGAATAACGCAGGTCCCTCCTCCTCCTCAGTGCGCACGGGCTGCACTTTACTTCTGTCCAGCTGGCAAGACTTTACAAAAGACTACAATACTGTACACTACTAGGATTCTCACAGTCAGCTGGCAACATGGGGCCATCAAATATATGTATAGAGGTTCCGCAGGTCTTTCCTTCCTGCTGCTGTCACAGACCAACTCCTGGTCGTGGATTACTCCTTATTACTTTATGACCAGACTTATTATGTGCCATCGCTGTCTGCTCAAAAGTCCACAGCGGCACACTAGGGCTGGAGGCAGGCTCAGTGCAGGGACTTCAGCCTAAACTCTTCTTTCCGTCGTGCCTTGTTTAGCACAGTCATAATTCTAAAATACACGTACTTGGTTATTCTTGTCTTATTGTAAATAGTAAATGCTCTTTGACAAACTCCTCTCAAGCCCCTGAATTCTCATGATACTCTAGAACGAGTCTTCTCACCGCTGCGACGGACAGTACAGATCAGATTATTCGGTCTCAATTGTCTCAGTGTGCGCTTGAATGCATGTAACCCCAAGCGCAAGAGGCTCGTGAAGCAACACCAGACATGACGCCTTTCTGCGTTTTGGAGAAAGACTTTAAGACTGATATCTAAGGGGACACATGTGTGAACCTCTATGGTGTGCAAAGTAGGGCTGCACAACACTTGGCTCATCAATTAGAGAGTGCGATATATGATATAGCCAGTGGCTGATAGCGACGATAAACGTTATGTATGCGATATTTTTTTCTTTCTCCCAAAAATTGCAATCTGATTGAAACGCAAGAGAAAATCACAAAAAATAAGCACAACATAACACGCAGAATGTTATTTATATACTTTTGGGTGTTGTTTGTTGATCTTGTGTGAATGTTGATGTGTTGTCTGTTTTGTTGGTCCTTTTTTTGTTATAAAAAACTTGTATATATATGGGGCATCTTTTTGATATGATATCGCAGGCACCAATATCGCGATACCCTATTTTTTTTATCTATTTGTGCGGCTCGCGTTTCAAAGTCCTGCAGTGGACAGTACAGACAGCTTTAAGTCCAAATATATTAAACACTTAGCTCCACAAGGTTATTGTGTATAAAAAAATACACCACATGTTCACCTACAATCAAGGGAGAGTAGGGTGCACATGGTCATAGCAGCACTGCCTTGTTCTGAGAGGACGAGAATGGCTAACCCTCAGCCACAATATGACTTTTTAAACGTCGTTATTGTTGGAATATAGCCTAAACATCGGTTGAACATAGGTTGGTGCAAGGACTAGGTACAGAGACTAGAAGAGCGAGACCTAGGGGCTCCTCGCGGGACTTGGAATCAGAGTAGGACAGGACTAGGACAGTGGACTAGCGACCTCGAGACCGCAGGGCCAGAAGATAGAACAGGGACTAGGACAGGACTAGGACAGAGTCTAGGACAGTGACTAGGATAGCGACTAGGATAGAGACTAGGACAGAGGATAGGGCAGAGACTAGGACCAGGAACTAGGACAGGGCTAGGACGAGGAACTAGTGGACAGGGACTTGGACAGGGGACTAGGCCGAGACTAGGACAGAGACTAGGACAGAGACAGGGACAGAGACTAGGATAGGAAATAGGACGAGACTAGGATAGAGACTAGGAAAGGAACTAGGGACAGGAATCGGACAGGAGACTAGGACAGGGACTCTGGACAAGCAGACTAGGATAGAGACAGGGACAGAGGGACTAGGATAGGAGATAGGAAGAGATAGGACAGGACCCTAGGACAGGGCTAGGAACAGCGGACTAGGACAGAGACTTGGACAGGGACTAGGACAGAGACTAGGACCAGAACTGGTACACGAGACAAGGACAGGACAAGGACAGAGATTCGGACAGTGGAGAGACAAAGGACTGGGACAGGCCTAGGCAGAGGGACAGGGACTAGGACTTTGAGAATGCTCGGACACTTCTATGGTATATAAGGTGTATGTGGTTTCTTACTGTCAGCCCTGCACTAAACCGTGGGCACTAGTGGATTAACGCTAGACATCCCAGAGCAGTCAATTTGATTTTGTTGTGTGCCAGTTTTTCAAATTTTAACGTAGTTTATTTCAATGGTAATTATGTTTAGAAATGATCTCGAGTCTAGAGCTGGATCCTAGCCTGGTACTAGTCGTTTTCAGTATTCTATTAATTTCAATGGGGACGTCAAAAAGAATAGTAATTATTTCAGAGTGTAATTAATTGGAAGGGGTGACTTAAAAAGACTGCTCGGGGAATTCTTGTAGTTTTCAGACTCCCATTAATTTCATGAGGAGATGTCACACAAACGAACTGGAATGGTAAGTTAGTTTCAGGATTCATTAATTTGAATGGGAGCCGTCAAAGAGACTAACTCTAGAGTTAAATCATCTACGGTTCGCTTCAGTACAACATGCTTTCAGCTGAAAACCAGGAGCTCCATTGGATGACCGTCTCTGCACTGCACAGAAAACACATATTAAAACCTAAAAACACCAGGTCACACACACGCACATACACACCACCGTCACGGCAGACACCACACTGGGACTCTGTACCTTGCGAACGAGCCCAGCCGTGGTGTGCGATGGTGGGACGCGACGCAAAGGGAGCCTCGCAACCTACCCAGAGTAGCGCCGCTAGTGCGAGCTTAGTCAGGCGTATCTACACTCACAGAGCCAAGATGCTCGCGGGAGAAATGTGGATCAAAAGCGCCGAGCAGGGACGGGCGGGACGATCTGTCTTGCTCCACCTTAGACACTTTTAGAATTATGTATAAACATTTTTTGTTCATGAATAGATATGTTTCTGCTGCTGGACACCTTCATTTCTTCTACAGGGATCAACAAACTATCAATGCATCAATCCATATCTTCCCCTAAGCCACCACCAGAGGGAGGTGTAATTCATAAAGGATAAAGAGACATTGAAGTTGTTGATTAATTTTAATCAAAAGTGAAAATGTGATAGGCCCATCTCCTCATCATCAGCACTCGACACACACACACACACACACACACTCACTCCCATTGGTCCGGTTGTGGTCAGTCTTCGGCTTCATGTGTTTGACTTTGAGTTCTTTTTTTGTGTTTCACTGCTCTCTGCTCTCGGATGATGACGTGGTCTATAAATGCTGAATGAACAGGGTTTTAGCGGTGACTCATCCACCGACTGACCTAAATGTGCATCCGTGGTTTGAGGAACAACACGTAATATATCATATAAATAGTGAATTATATGTGTTTATTTTAGCCCCATGATTTTGAAAGTATTCACTCAAATAATTGATGTAATTCATGAAATGTATTCACTGGTCTCCTGGTCACCTCTGCAGTACTGGAGTCACTTTAAAACAGGCGTCTCCAACCTATGGCTCAGAAGAAACCAGTAGCTCGCCACCCAATTCCAAATACTGTGGCTCCCCAAAGGATTTAGTTTTTACACAGATATTTTGAGTATTAAAAAAATTAGGATTCACATGTCCACAACTTTTGTGAATGAAAACTGAAAATCTAATAGATAGTAAGACTACCCCATCCGAGGATTGCTCTTAACATTCAATGGACTCCTTTTCCCCCGGATGCTTAAAGGAGTCTCTCTCTGGTCTCTCTCTCTGGTCTCTCTCTGGTCTCTCTCTGGTGACTCTCTGTTCTTACTCTGGTCTCTTTCTGGTCTCTCTCTGGTCTTACTCTGTTCTTACCCTGGTCTTTCTCTGATCTCTCTGGTCTCTCTCTGGGTTCTCTCTGGTCTCTTTCTGGTCTCTCTTTGTTCTTACTCTGGTCTCTTACTGTTCTCTCGCTGGTCTCTTTCTGGTCTCTCTGTTCTTACTCTGGTCTCTCACTGTTCTCTCTCTGGTCTCTCTCTGGTCTCTTTCTGGTCTCTCTCTGTTCTTACTCTGGTCTCTCACTGTTCTCTCTCTGGTCTCTCTTTCTTCTTACTCTGGTCTCTTTCTGGTCTCTCTCTGGTCTCACTCTGGTCTCTCTCTGGTCTCACGCTGGTCTCTCTCTGGTTTTCAGGTTTAGATTGGAATAGTGCCAAGGGAACTTAGATAAATGAAGCTATATAATGAAGGAAGAATCCACAGACCTACTGATGAGTGAAAGGACTGTCCCAGAGCCATGAGGCATTCACTGACACCTCGTACAGTCAGTGACACATCTGGTCCCACCTCCTCCGCTATCCCAACACTCTGTTCCCAGTGTGAAAATCATCATAATGACGTTTAATAATAACGCATGAGGCAGCAGTGTTTTCTCCATTCATTATTTTTAGCAACATGTGAAACAGAGGTAACAGTTTATTATTATTCACTCAAATCAGTCATGGAAGAAGTCAAACCTGTTCATTAAAAACAAGAGTAAAAATGGACTCAGACTTAAATGTTAACAGCTTCCACATCAATAACATCAGCAGATTTTTACCACCTGAAAAAACATTGCCAGAATAAGAAATATAGTGTCTAAATCGGCCTCAAGATTCTTCTTCTGCATTTGTCTCCAGTCAGTTGCACCACAGTAACGGCCTACTCACTGGTCCCTCCAAACGAGCTGCAAAACAACTGTATAGTTCGAGTTCTGATTTGAACCAGGAAGTCTTCTCACATTAGTCCTGGTCTCAGGTCTCTGCACTGGCTTCCTGTGGCTCACAGGAAAGACTTAGAAGCTGCTCTGCTTGTGTGCAAGTCTCTCCATGGCCTCACTCCAAAGTACATCTGTGGCATATTTGTGCCATTTGAACCAACTTGGACTCTGAGGAGCACAGGGACAGGCCTCATGCTGGGACTCTGAGGAGCACAGGTACTGGCCTCATGCTGGGACTCTGAGGAGCACAGGGACTGGCCTCCTGCTGGGACTCTGAGGAGCACAGGTACTGGCCTCATGCTGGGACTCTGAGGAGCACAGGTACTGGCCTCATGCTGGGACTCTGAGGAGCACAGGTACTGGCCTCATGCTGGGACTCTGAGGAGCACAGGTACTGGCCTCATGCTGGGACTCTGAGGAGCACAGGGACTGGCCTCATGCTGGGACTCTGAGGAGCACAGGGACTGGCCTCATGCTGGGACTCTGAGGAGCACAGGGACTGGCCTCCATGGTTCCAAGAATCAGGACAAAACATGGGTAAGTAGCTGATTCAAGCAACTAAAATGTGGAACAGTCTTCCCAAAAATGTGAGACAGGCTTCAATTCTGACATTGTTCAAATCCAGGTTTAAAACTGCTCTTCTTTGTGCATTCCACTGAAGGATAGTATCTTCACTCATCCAATGCAATGGGAGTTAAAAAAAATGATTTTAATGTTTCTTTGCTTGTTTAGTTGAGCTGTCTGAGCTGCCTGGCCTTGCCTTAAACAAACCTATGACTACCTTTTGCTTCCTATTGACACTCATGATCTTCTTCCCATTGTAACTGCGACTGTTAAAGACAGTGCCGTCCAACAATGTGGACAGACCGGTTTGAGAGGATCTGTGAAGATTCTCTGGCGGCTGTAGAGTTTCTGGAGGATCCTGTTGCTTCTGGGGCGGGTTCATGTTTGTTATGACCGCGTTTTTATTTACGTGAGGATCAGCATCGACAGAAAAGTGCAATGGAAATGAGAGAGTTCCGTCTTCGCTTGTTCTGAGGAATTTCAGTCCAGAGAGGAGTCCCCATTGCTCCGGTGAGTCACAAACTTTGTGTCTATTTGTGATTCCTAACTCCCAGTAACCAGCTTTTGATTCAACATGAAGCTGTTTTTCTGCAGACAGAGCACACTGCAAATTAAGTCAAAGTGGTCAAATCAAAGAAAAGAAATAGAAATATATGCTAGATGCTATGTTGGTATAGATCACGCATGTCAAAATGAGGCCTGTGGGCCAAATCCGGCCAGCAAGAACATTTTTAGTGGCTGCTGTTGTGATAATAAAAACACATGCACATGTTGACACAACAACACAGTGAATAAGTAATTTTTTTTGTATTGATTATAAGGTTTTTCTTTTTCAATCAATGTGTAATGAGGTAGACACTTTGCTGATTTGCAATTAAGCCCAGTTTTTTTCAGAGAGTAGGAGTCTTTCTTTATCTCGCTTAAATGGAAGACCGGGTCCAGGGCCAAGTCCCAGACCAGGACCAAGTCCTGAGACCTCTTCCACATATGGGGCCAAAGATGACACCTCCAGATACTCCTCCCCTTTGCACAGATGATGTCATTGTTTACCTGAATTTGTGTGAGTTTGTCTGAGCAGGGACAGATACAGAGGCTGACAACCTCTGAGATCATACAGGCCTGGAGGCTCTGTCTTTTTATCAGCTCTAGGGACAGTCAGGGGAATAGGAGCTCAGAGAGTTTAATTATAAAGGGAATTGAATGTTATTTGGACCGAACTCTTGGATGTCTTGGCCTTCCTTTATGGTCAGATTTTGAATAATACTACAAAAGTTGGCGAATGTTGGCGAATGAAAATAAATGTATAATTTGATAGTGTGCCTTATACTCATGTGCGCCTTTTGGAGTGAAAAATACTGCATGTGAATAAGATGTCACGAGGCAAATTAGCATAACCCAAAATCCAGGGCTGCAAAAATAAATGTTTAATCAAAGCAATTACAATAACAGAACAGGGATTAAATACACAAGATGAACAACACACCGGTGCAACACATGAGGGCAGGGCCGGTCATCACTGTTATCTGGGGACAGATCTATGTGTACATGTGACCTGTTATCGCAACAGAAATAACTATGTAGATCATTTTATTGCAGTCATTGTAGTTATTTTAAATTAAAATATTATCCACTGTATCTTAAAGTTTTTTTCTACTACATTCTTCTTTAAAAAAATCTTAATTTTGTATTCAACATGAGGACTTTCTCTATTTTCAACAGACAGTATGAATCTGTATAATATCATGTAAAATATATTATTAAACTACAGCAAATCCATGTCATAATCTTTCATAGCTGTTTAATGCTGCTGCCATGGCGACAGTGACGTGCACTCTGGGTACAGTAGTCCTGATCACATTATTGCTGTGGACAAACGCGCGGGTAAGACACATTCTTTAAATATAAAGAGACATTATTTAAGGTCAGATATGACACAGTTTGAAATGTTTAGGTTTTGAGAAACTCTGTTCATGAACTGAAACAGAAGCTGGAGTTTGTCAGCAGAGGTAAGCACAGTTCTACAATTAAAGCTGGGTACTTGACTTTTCATCAATAATTCATTATACTGATTTTCCCAGAAAAAATCTTGTAAAAGTCATTTGACCGAAGCAGACACAACATACTGTCCTCATCTAATTAAAAACATGTTAGTTTGTGCATTTAAAGATCCCTCTGAGTCATTATTTGACTCCTTGGGCCAAAAAGCAAGAGAGAGCGAGACAACAGTAATTGAGACCATAGAGAGATAGAAAGTAAGTGTTTATTGTTTTTCCCCGGTTTCATAATATTCACAATTTTTCCGCCGAAACAATTCGATTTTTGACCCTGAAGACATACACCAAAGTCTGCACATGGGGGGTCTAAAACAACCTGTTTGGCGAAATATTTGATAAAATGAACGTTTCGAGATAGTCCGACAAAAGGAGACTCAATAGCGCCCCCTGGAAATGTCAAATTTGCAAAGCCTATGGGAGCCAGGAATAAATATTTTGGAGTAGGTACATGAAATTCAGATCAGTGATAGATCTCTATGAGACCAACAGGAAGTCGGCCATGATGGGCAGAAGTTTCGCCGCCAATTTGACTTTTAATTTATTTATTCCAACTAGTCCCCAGTTTTTCATTACACAGAGTTCTACCACGTCATTTCCCAATCTGGACGGATTGAAGTTATATAATCATTAATAAAAAGTTGCAAGATCATCACTGTTTTTGTCCCTCGCCATGGCGAAAAAGGCCTTCGTTTTGGCCATTTTCGCTGAGCCCTGAGGGTCACAGGCTCAGACCTACAGAGCTGAGACTCACATCAGTAATATTAGGTTATGGCCTGAACGCAATGACACTAAAATCATTTGCCCAATATGAGCTCTTTAGCGCCACCTGTCGGACAGTAATAGGGCACTAGTGCTCGGATCGGCCCGAAAATCACTGAGTGTAATCTCTGTACCGAGACGAGCAAAAAATTACATTACGCAAAAGTTTTAGGTCCCAAACCTGACCACTGGGGGCGCCGCAAAGTGGATGAATGAGCTTTTTGAGGCAAAATGTTTGTTCAATGAGGCGAGAAAAAAATTCACAAATAAAGCATATGAGTGTGAACATAATGATATGCATCACACAACTCTGAGTGCAACAGCGCCACCTACAGGCAGTTCAAGGTGTCGCGTTTTTGGCTTCGTACCAGTCCCTGGATTTTCATCGCACAGACTTCTACCATGTCATTTCTCCATCTGGACGGATTGAAGTTATGCAATCATTGCAAAAATGTTAGAATTTTTTGACCACAGGCTCATGGCGCTTGTGGGGCGCGTGAGAGTGGCGAGGCCTTTCATTGACACTTGCAGCTTTAATTTATATTTATTTTTCTATTGTTTTAGTGGTAGGGGTAACCGGAGCAGCCGGAGGGAACCTTCGCAGGCACAGGAAGACCATGTAAACTCCACTCTGTTCCGAACGGGATTTGAACCCAGGACCTTCTTGCTCTGAAGCTATCAACTCAGCCCACTTACTGCCTACAAGAGAGAGAGACAGAGATTGAGACACCCGTGAGAAAGAGACCAGAGCGAGAGAGAGAGAGAAACCAGAGAAAGAGAGACCTGTACGCTAATTGGCTGAATGAGTCCTCTCTTTTTCACTTTTCTGAAAGACCAGAACAGAGAGAGCCCGAAGAGAAAGATACGAGAGAGACCAGAGAGAGAGAGAGACCAGAGAAAGAGACCAGAGAGAAAGAGACCAGAGAGCAAGAGATAAAAGAAAAATACCAGAAAGTGAAAGAAAGCGTGGCAAAATACAAGCTGTGGGAAACCAGAAAGAGAGACCAAAGAAAGAGACTGGTGATGGAGAGAGAGATAAGAGTAGGACCAACGAGAAACCAGAGAAAGAGACCAGACAAAGATCATCCAAAGACAGAAACCAAAAATAAATGCATGTGAAAACTAGCGATTGGAGTTGCGGGGTTTGTTGTAATTTGTTGTTGTGGTTTAAACGTTAGGTACCCCAGCTGTATTGTTGAAAATAAAGTTTGTATGTATGTATTATTATGCAGATGGAGACACAACTCATGTATTGACCAGACACAAACACAACGGTGCGTTCAGGAAATCTGGTGGACAATGGCCCCGGTCCAGAGACGGCAACGTGTATGTGCCCTGTGTGATCGATGACGGCTACTGTGAGGACATACAAAACTCTCTCTGGTCTCACTCTGGTCTTTCTCTGGTCTCTCTCTGGTCTCTCTCTGGTCTCTCTCTGGTCTCTCTCTGGTCTCTGGTCTTTCTCTGGTCTCTCTCTGGTTTCTCTCTGGTCTCTCTCTGGTCTCTCTTTGGTCTTTCTCTGGTCTCTGTCTGGTCTCTCTCTGGTCTCTCTCTGGTCTCTCTCTGGTCTCTCTCTGGTCTCTGGTCTTTCTCTGGTTTCTCTCTGGTCTCTCTCTGGTCTCTCTCTGGTCTTTCTCTGGTCTCTCTCTGGTCTCTCTCTGGTCTCTCGCTGGTCTCTCTCTGGTCTCGTCTCTCTCTGGGATTTCTCTGGTCTCTCTCTGGTGTCTCTCTGGTCTCTGTCTGGTCTTTCTCTGGTCTCTCACTCTGGATAGACAACTTTTCCTACTGCCGCAAAACATTTAAGATTACTTTTAAAATACTCTTTCTTCATAAAATATGTAACTGCAGTTGTTACGTGGGGATGACTACAAAAGTTATACCCTGTTCAATAAAATTCTTTACAAAGGCCTCCACATAAATCAAGTAATGTTTTCTAATCAAATCCCAAAGCAGAATGTATTTTTCCATTCCAGCCACTAGATGGTAGTGTTTCTCAAACCCCGCTCATCAATCAATACATACTTTTGTAGGTTATGAAATGTCAAAAAGTAAACAATCTCAAGATCATGTTGTAAGGGCCATAATGAATATTTGTGTGGAAGAAATGGTGTTGACTTTTAAACATGTTTTATTCGTTGTTTATAGCGAGTGTTGCGAAGGCTGCGTTCATGATGGGTTTTGTCTTGTTCCACTTATCGACCTGCATCAGATTGGTCTCCAGAACCAACGAGACGGACTTTCTGCACATACAGCCCTCCAACGGGTGAGAAACAGACCCAACACTATTCATGCACAAGCAACACTTCCTCTCATTATAAAGAAGTATGTTCTCACTCTTGGTGCGGTTGTCTTTCTCTAAGCTCGGGTCTTCTACCCGAGGCCTGGGAGCCCGAGGGTTCTGTGCAGTGTCTATGCTGATCCTAGCACTGCACATTTCTGGACTGAGATTTCCGAGGTTGTTCCAGCTTCACGGTCACTGCCCCGAGTGCACCGATCACCACGGGCACTACTGTCACCTTTACCCTCCAGGCCCTCTCCAGCTCCTCTCTGAGCCCTTGGTATTTCTCAAGTTTTCAGTGCTCTTTTTGTCTGATGTTACCATTTCTTGGAATTGCCACACCCATCGAACATGTGTTGTGCCGCATCGATCTCAAGCTGTGATAACAGTGGCTGGTTGTGAATTTTGGAGCACAGACCTTTAGTTTTTTTGGGGTCGTCTGTGACTGTGAGTTTCATAGTAACCATTCAGCCCACATTCTCTGCATATACAGTCCCCTCTCTGGTCAGGGTTACTGGAGTAGTAGCATTGCAATCGCATCTCGCCCACTTTTGCCTTGTTCCAGAAGCCCATAATTTAATATATACATACTATATATACACCATAAATCAGAAAACACAGATTGTCAGTGACGCTGCATACGGACACCCCATGGTGTGATGAATGCACCCCTGAATCTGGCCTCTTTTATGAACTGGTCCCTTTAGGCTCCCTCTGGTCTCTCTTTTCTCTTGCTCTGGTCTCTCTGTAGTCTTTCTCTCTTTGGTCTCTTTTGTGTCTATCTAGTCTCTCCAGTCTCTCTCTGGTCTCTCTCTAGTCTCTCTCTAGTCTTTATTTGGTCTAGCTCTTTAGTCTCTCTCTAGTCTCTCGCTGGTCTCTCCTTGGTCTCTCTCTCTGGTCTCTCTCGAGTCTTTCTCTTGTTTCTCTAGCGCCTCTCTAGCCTCTCTCTGGTCTCTCTAATAATAATCTAACTAACCAGAGACCATGGAACCCCAATAAATCTGTCCTGCCTCAACAAACGCTTACTTCACCTTGGAGAGACCCATGAGGAAAATGCCGTTAGACTTATTAGATTTAAGCATGTTTATTGATTGAGCATGTTTGGCGCCCTAGGCCCGGGAGGGATGCTGTTGAGCACGGCGCTTGCTCGCGTGCATAATCCCCCCCGGGGCCTAGGCACTGGTGGCGGCAGAGGCAGTAGGCAAGCACGCTTTGGTGAGAAAAGGAGGAGGTGGGGCGGCGGAGGCTTGCAGACTTCAGAAGGCCGGGAAGTGGGAGTCTCCGGCTTTTAACTTGCTGTCCTGGTGGTTATTGGTTGGCTGGATGTGGGCGTTGCTGGTCTGATGAGCCGAGGAAGAGCAGCCTGTAGATCTGGGCAAGCAGCAGCCGGGTCTACCACAGTGAACTTTCGCGAAAGCTCCATTTCACCTTGGAGAGACCCATGAGGATAATGCCGTTAGACTTATTAGATTTAAGCATGTTTATTGATTGAGCATGTTTGGCGCCCTAGGCCCGGGAGGGATGCTGTTGAGCACGGCGCTTGCTCGCGTGCATAATCCCCAAAAAGCGGGCCTGCGATTGGGATAGCAGGACGTACTGCGCGGGCCTGAGAGCATGAGTGAGAGGCTTCTCGCAAAGTCGCTCAGCCAGGCTGCGTCCGCTGGGGCCCGTGTTTGTTTAGGCAGGGCGAGCTGAGAATATGAGCATGCGCATGTTCAGCCAGACGCTGCAGCAGGGGAGTCTTTGAGCGAGCTGAGAATATGAGATGCATGCTCATATTCGCCAGATGCTGAAGCAGAGGAATCTTTGAGCGAGCTGAGAACATGCGCGCACGCGCATGTTCAGCCAGACGCTGCTGCATGGCAATCTTTGAGCGAGCTGAGAACATGCGCGCACGCGCATGTTCAGGCAGACGCTGAAGCAGAGGAATCTTTGAGCAAGCTGAGAACATGCGCGCACGCGCATGTTCAGCCAGATACTGCAACAGGGGAATCTTTGAGCGTTTGAGGAAAGTGCGTGCCGCCACCAGAATCTTATTGCTTACTTGCTTTGCAGGGAGCTTACGAGGAAGCCGGTAGACGTTGTGCTGCCATGATAGCGGTCGCATCTGGCCTGATGTAGGTGGAGAAAGCCGAAGAGGACCAGCGCCCCAGCTGTTGCAGAGAAGAGTGGGGGAGCCCCAGCGAGGCCGCGCGCGTGGCAGCGCCTATCCTGAAGGAGTGGGATGTATAGAGCTGGGGAGACAAATTGCAGAGGAGCAGTAGGGATCTTAGCTGAGCTCTGAACCAGGTTGCTGTTATGGGAAGGTTGTCTGGAGCGGGAATTAGAGGTCCGTTAAAATCTTTTTGCGGCGGAGGCGAGTGTAATGCATCATGGACCTGTAGGGGCAGAGAGATGTGTCGTAGCGAGCTATTATTGTGTTGCAGGCGCCTTTGATCTTTAAATGTTTGAGATGAAGGTTATGAAGGACATTATGTTGGGTGAGAAGAGCAACCTTTGTTTAATGCTTCCACTACGTCGAGATTATCACGCAAGACAGAGATCCTCTTTCTCTGCCACGTGTGATTCCACGCGCACAGGCCACGACCACTGGGAATATCTCGTGTAGGGCAAGGAGATGCTCCGGTGGAAAGTAGCGGCCACGCTCGGCAAACCAATGGTCCTGGAAGAATCCCCCAAAACCCACGGAAGGGGCAGCGTCCGTGTAGAAGCGGAGACCTGTAGGGGCAGAGACATATCGGAGAGGGCCATTGATGTTGCAGGCGCCCTTACGCTCAGAATCTTGGGTTGGAGAGTAGATAATCAGGATAGTAGGATGGTCGGGAAAGCCGTGTCTCGGACCGCATGAAGGTTGAGTGAGCAATGGTGAGACGCTTATGCAGAGAAGCCATAGAAGGAGAGCAGGAAGATGCTGCGAGGAGGGCAGACATGTACTTGGAAGATGAGCCGGAGTTCAGTGCCGCTCAGAGCTGCTGCAGGATGGGCAGCATGATGGGGAGCCTGCGATCAGAAGAGTGAAGAATACAGGTATGGATGCCTTTGATTAGGAGTCCGATTGACGGCTCAGCGCAGCTACTTGGCCAGCTGCATCTGATAGATCAGAAGATTAAGTAGAGAGATGAAGCACGACCGCCGAAGCGACCCTGGGAGCATAGGTGCGAGTCCAGCGCAGCGCGGCATGCTCAGCCGGGCTGCGTCCATTAGAAGCAGGATAAGCTTCTGAGAGAGTGGGTTGCAGCAGTAGCAGTAGCAGCAGCGGCAGCAGCAGTAACCTCAGATAATAACAGCAATAGTCCTGTATCAAGCCGAGGGCAGCAGCAGTAGCAGCAGCAGCGTCCTTAGAAAATAACAGTAATAATTCTGTATAAAAGCCACAGCAGTAGAATGTTGTTGTAGCTGTTCAGTGTTTCAGTAAAAGAGATGCAAGTGAAGAGAGATGGCAAAGTAAAAGCAGCAGCAGCAGTAGTAGCAGCAGTAGCCGTATGAAGCAGCAGCAGTAGCAGTATGAAGCAGCAGTAGCAGCAGCAGCAGCTGCAGCATCCGTAGATAATAACAGCAATAATCCTGTATCAAAGCCAGAGCAGTAGAATATTGTTGTAGCTGTTTAGTGTTTCAGTAAAAGAGATGCGAAGTGAAGAGAGGTGTCAAAGTACATGAAGCCGCAGCAGCACGGCAGCAGATGCAGTATGAAGCAGCAGCGGCAGCAGTAGCAGCAGTAACGGTAGCAGTATGAAGCAGCAGAAGCAGCATTAGCAGGAGCAGCAGTAGCAGTATGAAGCAGCAGCAGTAGCAGCAGTAGCAGTATGAACCAGCAGCAGTAGCAGCAGTAGCAGTATGAAGCAGCAGCAGCGGTTGCAGCATCCGTAGATAATGACAGCAATAATCCTGTATCAAAGCCGCAGCAGTAGAATATTGTTGAAGCTGTTTAGTGTTTCAGTAAAAGAGATGCGAAGTGAAGAGAGGTGTCAAAGTAAAGAAGCAGCAGCAGCAGTAGCAGTATGAAGCAGCAGCGGCAGCAATAGCAGCATTAGCGGCAGCAGTAGCAGCAGTAGCAGTATGAAGCAGCAGAAGCAGCATTAGCAGGAGCAGTAGCACCACATTGCGATTCATACGAACAACAGACGTGTCACGCCAGCGTGCGCCGCTTGTCTCCGTGAGCCAGGTTACATACGTGTCTGAAAGAGCCGAGCCGTAGAGACAGGTGCCGCCCGGGAGCCCGCGGAGCGGCAGCGGCAGGAACAGCAGCAGCGGCACATGTAGTAGTAGGAGCAGCAGGAGCAGGCAGCAGCAGGAGCGGCAGCAGGAACAGGCAGCAGCAGGAGCGGCAGCAGGAGCAGGCAGCAGCAGGAGCGGCAGGCAGCAGCAGGAGCGGCAGCAGGAACAGGCAGCAGCGGGATCAGGCATCAGTAGGAACGGCAGCAGAGACCGCAGCAGCGGCGGTCAGAGAACCATGCCCATGGTTGTTTAAGAGCCTGAGGAAATAAATCAACCCGAATCCGAAACATTCCCATGCGAATAACAGATGTCCCCTGGAGCCATCTTGCTGCTTTGGTTATGGCAGATACGCATGAACGATCACTTTTCCATGCGTTCATTAGCTCCAACTCCACTTCAAACCCATTGCAGATTCACATTGGGCCCTTTTTCTTTCTGCTGCACTTTCAAAATGCAACAACTGCAGTTTAGTTACCCAATTTAATACTAGTGACCTAGCTATTTAAATGCATGGCCCCTCCTTCCTCCTGCAGATAGACGAATTTAAATACATTCATTTAACAATAGTGACCTGCGAGTAATGAGATTAATGCTGTAAAAAATGGCGCCGTGGCAAGAGTTCTGGTGTGTGCCGTCCGGAGCACGATGGGGTAGTCTTTGCACATTTTTCCAACGTGGTTTTACTGCAAGTGGCAGAACATGAATCCGAATTAATGCACATTGCTCCTCTTTTATCCCTCAGACCAGTGTCTCCCAAAGTGGGGTCCGCGGCCCCCTGGTGGGCCGCGAGGGTACTGCAGGGGGGCCGCGGGAGGTCATAAAAAAAATAGAAAAATAATATAATTATTTAATGTTAAATTTATAATGTTTTGTTTGTAATATTAAAATATTTGTGTTCATTATTTGACTTGAATAATCCACTGTA